TTTATGTGGTGCTGTGGATCAAACTCAGTGTCTCACACATGTTAGGCAAGTGTTCTATCACTGAGTCACAACCCCAGCCCCCCAATTTTTTTAAATCACTAAATCTAACCAGATACAAGGTGGTTGTTTTATGTATTTGACCTTACTGAGGGGAATTAGATTATTTATGCAATAGCAGACTTGTTGATTTTATACAAGAATTAATCTTCAGTGTAAAAGCTTTTCTAGATTACATACTCTCAAAACTTGTAACTTTTAATTTCTTAATGTTTTTCATCTTGATTTCCATGTGCCATCATCACTGAATCCATTTTGCTGAAAAAAAAGTAAAAAAAAAAGTTAGATATACAAATTCAGCACAAAAATAAGTCTACAATTAAGATTTTAAAAAACAATCTTTCATCTAGGAGAGAGTGGTGGATTAGGCATTCCACTTTTCCTTCCACTCCTGAATTCACTGATGTCCCTTTGGGCCACATGTGAAGTACCAGATATCAGATATGCATATTCATAAAATGCTTGAGAGTCATCTTGTCAACTTATATGTACTATAAAAAAATGCAGTGCCTATGAAGTGTACATGGGCAGGGGGGAAGGCACAAAGTCTCAGTCCTTGTGTAACCACACCCCCTAAAGTGTCATGGATTCCCGGGAGACAAAGTTCTAGAGCTACCACCATGCATATCAAGACCTATGATATAATGTTGGATCAGGCTACGGCTGCTAAATTAGAAAGAAAAGCAAATATGAGAGCTGTTTTGGAGAAGCAGAAAATAGAAGAAGTATGAATATAATTAGGTTTATTCTTGTAATTGATTCTGCAGCCTGATGGAACGTGGGTTTCTGAATATTTTTCAGAGCATTTTCCAGATGTAGCCTCCCAATAGCTCATTAAGCTCACACATTTGTCATCAAGCTCCGTACTTTGGATCCCATGTAGGAATCCCAAATGTTCCTCTTTTCATTCACTGTGTCAACAAGACAAGGAAAAAAGTGTTGTTCACATTCTCTTCAATCTCATTTGGGTTATTTTATCTACTTATTATTAAACATAAAAATAAAATGTAGATACTGGCTTGTAAAAGTTGATCAAATGTCAAAGGACTTTATTTTGCTAATTTATGTCCTCTGTTCATCTTTTCAGTCAGCTTTTATACCTTTCTCACTTAGTTTATAGAAAATGTTCATTGAAGATACATATCCTTAATGGTTTCTCCTCACATTATCAATGTTAATTATGAGTCTAAATTATACTAATATTTGATCTATATTGTCAAAAACATTTAAATGTTATATTTAATAAAGAATCAACTCTATTTATTTTTCATTTAAAAGTAACATTAAGGGCTGGGGTTGTGGCTCTGTGGTAGAGCGCTTGCCTAGCACATGAGGCACTGGGTTCAATCATCAGCACCACATAAAAATAAATAAATAAATGAAATAAAGGTATTGTGTCCATCTATAACTAAAAATATTTGAAATTTAAAAAGGATTTATTATCAGGCACAGTGGTGCACACTTGTAATCCCAGTTACTTGAGAGGCTGAGGCAGGAGGATTGCAGGTTCAAGGCTAGTTTCAGCAACTTAGAAGGACCCTAAGCTATTTAGCAAGATCCTGTCTTCAAAATAACAAGTAAAAAGTGCTGGGAATGTAGCTCAGTGGTAAAGGCCCTGGGTTCAATTCCTAGTACAAAAAACAAACAAACAAAACAAAAAAAGGCATTTACAATACTGACAAAATTATCTAAAAAAAATACATTCAAGTGTAAATGTAAAAGGTCACTCACAGAAATGGACTTCAGTTTAAAAAATCAATTTATCAGCAAAGATCTATTTTTGTTTGAAAAAATGGGAAATTTTAAAAAATAAATGATTTCTTTCTTTGTTGTATCTATGTCCTATGTAATATCAGAAGATAATATAAATATTGACTGATTTTATACCAGTAACAAAATATTATCATAGTATAACTATATGCTGCTAAATTGTTAACTAAATATAATTAATTAATAAAATATCTTACTTTATTTCAATAAATCATTTTCAACAATATTCAATGTACATTAGTAATAAAAGTGATTGTTCCTTACAGATCCTGACACTTACCCAGGACCTTGGAGTAGCAAGGTTCACAGTGTATTGTCTGTCTATAAATCCAAATACTGTCACCTGCTTGTAGATTTTCCAAAGGCTGTTTGCATATTTCACACTAATGGAGAAAAGCATAAATATAAAGTTTACATCATAGATTAAGTCTAGATTCTTGGAGGAACAAGGTAGAGAAGCCTTTTCAGTTCATTCAAGACCACCTTCCATAGCCTCACTCCAACGCAGCCTCAAAAAACACCACAGGAAATTTGAGAGTATCCTGGTCCTATAATCCATGTGGAAAACTTTTCAAATGGACTCTCATATCCTCTTTCTATCATGCTGGTATATTTCAGGGACTATCTACCACTGAAGTTATCTACTTAACTCCCAAGGGAGCAGATACAATAGTTTTTATATTGGTTATGCAAGGACAGGATGTTCACCCAATATCTCAAACAAAAATACAAGGTAGCATTTATGGTTTTCTTACATAAGGTTTAGGAGGAAAATTTATTCTGAGTTGTGTTGGGTGACAGAAGCAGGAATGATCTGGCCTCTCTTTTAGACCCTTCCACTACTGATTGGCTGAATTCCAAGCATGAGGCAGGGGCACTAATTGCTCTCAGAAGTGGGTTCACTAAAGTGAATTGTCATTGATTACTTTGACATGTTTAGACCAGTTCAGATGGCTCTCTATTACCATGGCTACAGAACAAACTATCTTTTTCTACAAGTGTGGGGAACCTTTTTATTCTCAGTTTTGTTTTATAATGACATTGGAAATGGTGTCAAATCATTTAAAATATAATAAATGAAAATTGTTCCTATTTACCAAAAGCAATAATCAGGAGAATTTTCTCTCATTTATAAAGTTTTATTCATAATAATTTGAAAGAAAGAGTTATATACTTTTATTTAATTGAATATATTTAATAATAGGAAGCGATTGCATATTCTTATAATCAAATAATTATTCAATCTTCATAATATATTTTTATAATCCTCTATTGGGTGAGTTTTTCTTTGTTCAAAATAATGCACCAAATTTCTGATTGCTTTATGTTACTATCTGAAGGTAAATGGAGGAGTAACATTCAATTCACTAAGTATTACATCTATTTGGATTAGATAATTTGTATCAATCATAGAATGCCCGCGCTATAACTACCCATAGATTTGGATAAGTGGCTCTCAATTGGCTGCATATTAGTTTTCAAAGTACTAATGCCCCCAAATTATCTCTGAGATTCTTGGTTTAACTGGGGCTTGTCCCAAGCATTCTGATAATTTCCCTTAATCGCTTCAGATGATTATAAGATGCAGGCAGCATTAAGAACAACTGGTCTAGTCAACAGGTAAGGAAATAGTCCAAGGCAATCTAGATGGTTTCCAAAGTCACTCAGTCATAACTAGTGGCAGAGGCAGAACCAGAAGTCAGGTCTTCAGATTCTCAGCTCAGTGTTTACTCATGCAATTACACCCAAAGCTGTCACGTTGACCCACCCAATGTCATTGCTGAGAAAAAAAATAGCTGATAGAAACCAAACTCTGAAATACTATGCTAATGAATGTCTACTATTATTTATTAAACCACAATTAATTGCAATTGATCATAGGCTCAAAAGCAGATTGAGTTTTAACAATTGTTAAACCCATCAGGCCTAATTTCATGATGAAAGAGTTGCTTGCTTTCTTAAGTTTATTCTCCTCTTTTGATTTCATTATATATTTTTATGCAATATGTGAATTATCAAAATGTTGCAGAAACTTTATAAAAAGAACAAGTGTTTATCTTTTTCACAGACTTAAATCTCTTGGGTAAGAATGAATAGATGTGTCAGTAATCAACTCTAAGCCTAAAACCAAGATAGTAATTTTAAGCCTTTGAGGTTTAGGCTACAGAGCTCTGAGAAATATGTAAGTTGTGCATTATTAATGTGAATTATAGAGTTTCTGAATGCTTTCACTTCATTCCATGAATTTTAATAAATAATTATTTTAATTCCAGTTATTATGCCATTTAACATTTAGTTAAGTGTAATAAACACATGTTTACCTTAAAGCAAGTGGAATGGCAGCAAATCTGTAATTCATCTAAAATCATTTTCGTTTGTAAACCCAAGGGTTTGCGACAATAAGTACACATATCTCTTTCGATGACTGACCTGTAGAGATATAAGCAATTAAAAATTAAAAAGAAATTTGCTATCATATAAAAGACAGAAGTCATGTAGAAATAGTATGTTACTTTTTTAAATTAAATTATTTATTTATTCTAATTTGTTATACACAATGGCAGAGTGCAATTCATTTCACATTACACATAGAGAGCACCATTTTTCAAGACACTAATGGTACACAAAGTATTATCACACCATTTGTGTCTTCATACATGTACTTAGGGTAAATTTGTGTCTTCATACATGTACTTAGGGTAAATTTGTGTCTTCATACATGTACTTAGGGTAATGATGTCTAACTCATTCCACCATCATTCATTCCCCTTTGCCCCCCCACCCGTCCCTCCCTCCCCTTTGCCCTATCTAAAGTTCCTCCATTCCTCCCATGCTCCCCTCACCCATCACCATTATGAGTCAGCATCCTCATATAGGAAACTACAGTTACCCTTAAGATGATGTCAAAGAATTAACATGAGGGAAAGTCTCAGATTATTAAACCATTAGCAATCAAGAATGCATCTGAGCAGGATAGAGATGTTCAATTTCCCTGCTAAAGTAGGTTATAAGGACCTCTTGAAGCTGGAAGAGGGTTTTTTAATTATTAATTTACCTCTATCAGTTTACAGATTACATGGGGAAAGTATGTTACAGATTAATGTAAAGGTTTTACACTTGAAATATTCAATAGGCCCCAAATAGAAATCCATTCAAGGGTGTGTTTATAAACTCACAAATGATGGGTCTATAGTGCTCAAGGACTCCAAGGTCTAGAGTCACCACCCAGGGTAAGAGTCAGATTTAGGGATACCTATCATGACAAAGTTTATATTCTACAGGAAGATATAAAATTTGATTAGTTTTGTGAAACTAATGTAAATGAATTATAGATGCAATCAACAGAATCCAGAAAAATTTAGATCATACCAGAGCATTAGGAAAGGATTCTTTTCCTTTTGTAAGGTCTCAGGAGTGTCTTAAATCACACCAAGTAGTATTTATTGGATTTGAGGCTTTAGCACACCCACCTGATATTTCCAGAGTAGGATACTTCATGGATAGTGAAATAAAAATAGCCAATACTTGTATAGTGCTTAACATGTGCGGTGTATTTGCCCAAGCCTGCGTATAAAAATTCAGTTACCCTTCACAACATTACTGAGAAGTCAGTATTGTTATTTTTAGCATCACTTTCTAGAAAGGGAAACTGGGGCAGAGAAAGGTCAGTATATTGCTGCTGTCATGCAGCCAGTGAGTGGCTTTGAATGGAGAGTTTAGGCCTACCCATGAGGCCTACTGGGTTCCCTGTGTTGACAAGAGCTAGTCATGCCCAGAAGCCACTATGGTGTCATCAAGCCCATGAGTGAAGCAGAGAAGAGGGAAAATAGGAGGAAGAGAAAACCAGAGAAGAAAGGAATTAAAGTAGATAAACCTTTTCTGGTTTTATACTTTTAGTCATTCTAGCAATTTCTTGCTCATGCCTATGTGCATAAGTAAATATTTTCCCCTTCACTTCATTCTCTAACTACTCACTTATAGATACCAGGCAAATATTTCCCTATGAATTACCCATTTATATACAGATGTATGTACATGCACACCCAAATTTCCCATTTGTGACTATAAGCACTTTAAGAGCAGAAAGTATGTGCTTTATATCTGCTGTCCATTCCACAGGCACTGAGCTAGGAACTGGGAGTACAAAGAATGGCTAGATGGTGTCCTCCTATGAGAAGCTGTTTCCCCTGGGGAAGCCAGACATGTGACTCAGTGATGACAGCATGACATGGATATGAGGGAAGAGGAGCGTCCACTGAGGAAGCAACCAATGCTGGGAGGAGTCAGGAAAGGCTTGTCCAAAAAGTGCATATGGTTAGGCTTGAAGATGAAGGAGCTCTCAAGGTGGGCTCATGGGGTTCATGATAGAGGAACCAAGCACAGTGAACAAGATAGATGGAGCTGCTCCTCCCTGAGGGCATTTGCAGTGATTGACCATCTGCCAATGTTCAGCAGGAGCAGATTCTAAAAGCCCATAAAGAATGTGTAAAAAAATTGGTCTTTGTTTTATAATGTATGCAACCACTTTTAATGGGATTGATATGCTTGGATAAGAACTGTGGGGACATAGCCAATTTCACACACTAACCAACAGCAAGAGTTGCTTGACCTACTGGGCTTACAGAGAACTTACAACTAAGAAAAAGTTCATGAACTGCCTCAGGCTAATTCTCTAATTCTTCATATTAACAGAAAGACTCTAATGAAGCATATTTCCCTTCATTACATTAACAATAAAAATATGAGTGCAGGTAGAATTCTGATATTGGTGCTGTCCTTAAAATTAAGGATTATACAATTAGTCATAGACATTTACAAAGGATTATGAAAAATCTAGCTTTGGTTTGTTTTGTTGTTGTTGTTGTTACCTACATAGTGTCTATAATTCCAATGTTTGTATAGATTACTTTACTCCTCAGAGAAGTGTAACATAAAGGCAGGACACCCAGCAGAGCATTGATAATGGGAACAATCTTGGAAGATTATCATAAAGGGGCTATATTTTTATTTTTGATTGGCATATAATAATTATACATTTTTATCAGACATGATGTGATATTTTGATATATGCATACAATACATAATGACCAAATCAAAGTAATTAGCATTTCTGTCTCAAAATCCTTTCTTCTAGTTATTTTGGAATAAACCATACATTGTTGTTAGCTATGCTCATCCTACTGTGCTATAGAACTCTAGAAGTAATTCTCTTGTTTGACTGTATTTTGATACCTGTTATCTATCCTCTCTCTATCTTGCCCTCCACCACCTGGACCATTTTACTCTCGACTCCTATGAGATCAACTTTTTTTAGCTTCCACATAGGAGTGACAAAATGTGGTATTTGTCTTTCTGTGCCTGGCTTATTTCACTTAACATAATGTTCTCTGGGCTCATCTGGATTGCCACAAATAACAGGATTTCATTCTTTTTATGACTGAATAATATTCCATTGTGTGCATATATCCCAACTTTTCTTTTTCCATGAATCTATCATTGGACCTCTAGATTGACTCCATATCTTGGTTATTATGAATATTGCTGCGATGAACCGGTGGTGAAGATGTTTCTTTGGCATATTGATTTCCTTTCCTTTGGATATATACTCAGTAGTGGAATTGCTGGGTCTATGGTAGTTCCATTTTAGTTTATTGTGGAACCTCCATATTGTTTTCCATAATGGTCATACTAATTCACTTTCCTTCCATCAGAGAAACAGGATAAAATTTTGATGCTTGGTTCACCCATATTCTCCTTTGTGAATGGGACATAGGTTCATGTGCTCAGAAAACATTTACTGAGTACCTGTTAGACACCAAACACTGCATTGGAAGCTACACATAAAAACAAGATATACCCTTATTCTCAATGAGTCATATTTCTACCCCTTGTTATAGAGAAACTGGTGGAATATCAAATATTTGCATTACAGTTGGTTTCCAGTGATCGGGTTAAAATGCTAATTATTTTCATTTACTCCACTGCAAATCTGCAGGCCACACATTCCTGAGTGTCATCTAGGAGTGAACATTGGGCCCCACTGAACATTAAACAGTAGAAGATCAGTAATAGCAAAAGCCTGGAGTGGGGTCAGTTCACCAGCACTAAATCAATACTCATCATAACTCTCTCCCTGGGAACTGCACTTAGGTCCAGAGTAGGTCTTATCAGTAAGTATATCCATGCAGCTGCTTGTAAAGTGAGATGGCTTTGAAAAACCACAAGGAGGGAGGGCTGAGGGTAGTCTAGTGGTACAATGAAGCCTAGATGCTAATAATGTGGAATTGGGGACTCCTGGGAATCATCAATAGCAGAGGGGCTGGCCTGGAAAGCTGCTGCAAAGAATGGAAAGGATTTTTGGAATAATGTGCATCAAAATTAGAGATCAGCAACAGCAGGAGACCAAGAGGCAAATTCTTGGATGCAGAGTTGTATTCTCTTCTTGTACATACATAACAATTATCATTAGGAGAGCCATCTCAAGAACAAATGATAATGAGAATATATATGTATGTGTATATGGGTTTTGTGTGTGTGTGTGTGTGTGTGCACACTAATGTATACTTTTATGTTTGGAAATATAGACATGCTTACCGATCTGAAGTTGAATAAACAGTTTGTATATATTTTCCAGAAGTATTCTCCTGATATCCATCTTTTGGTGATTTACTAGAAACAAACATACATGAACATATGAGAGTCTATCTGTTTTCTCTAGTATCAATATCATATCCATACACTGATGGATTGTAAGAAAACACACACATGCAGCCTTATTATTATTGTTTTTTGTTACCCTGCAAGTCAGGATAATGCTTTGACACTTATTTTTTAATCTGTAGAAGTATTGATGCACAAAATGCCTCCAAGTTGATATATCATCAAAGTAAATATAGAGTAGGGTAAGGAATATAGGAACAAGTAGGTAAATAAGTCAACATTTTTTCATAAAATGTATACTTTCACCTCACTTGTTCACTAAAACTATTTGCAGTCTAATATAAAATAAAGGTAACACACAAAGCCCAAGCAAGGCAGGCAAACACACATACACCATTCCCAGGGAACAATGGAGACACATGAGCTTTTAGAGAAAGCTCTAGAAATTTTTATTTTTACTTGAAAACATGCAAGAAGGAGTAATTTAGAATGAAAGCAAAATTTTAAGTGCAATTTTAAAAGTCCTCTCTTTTTCATTTTGCAGATTGTCCCAGCTTCTAAACGTCACTTCTTCTGGAGACAAATGAATCTGTTGTGAGCTAACCAGTTGGCTCCTCATAATTGCTTCCCAAAAACTTAGGCTACCTGGGAATATATTACGATTCAACTCAACACGTTGCTACTATTTCAAGCAAGTGATAATTCTACATCCCTCACATGAGATTTTTTAATGAGAAATCTCTCTCTCCATCCAAACAGTCCATAGGCAGACTGCTGTCAGAACTAAAATCTACTTCCTGGAGCACATTACTCCTCAATGACAAATAAGAGTTTGCACATATTTGTTCATGATGCATATATCATTACTTTTATTTTATTGATGAGGAAACTGAGAACTGCAGAATAGCTTTGCCAAGACTACATGGTTAATAAATGGCAAACAAAGACTCAACCCAAATCTGATTCTAGAGACTCTATGCTACAATGCACTGTCTGTCAGTGGAGATTTTAGGGAAGTTAGGGGTGTTTGGGGTTGCATCACCACTTTGTTAATTTAAAGGAGGGGAAAATCAATCTTTCCAGAATGTTCTGTCCTGTAAACACTTGGCCTGGCATGCAACAATGTTATCTATTATCTTTTATTTTATGTTGACATTTTTAAAGAAAACAGAAAATATTATAAAATAATACAAAACCAAAATTTGATTTTTCTCAAACCTAAATGTGTATCAGAAACACATGACAAGTTTGTTAAAATGAGATTTCTGGGTTCCACTTGCAAAGCTTTTGATCTGGCAGGTCTAGAGGGAGGCCAAAGAATTTTCATCTCTAGCAAGTTCTGAGGTGATGCTAGCCCAGAGTCCACACTATATCAAAATGTCTAAAGTTAGATGTTTTATAGAATATACATAATTCTAGAAAAATCATCATTTCCTTGAAAATCAATACTGCAGTTATTGGCATGAGTTCCTGTAAGACATTTCTTTAGAAATCAAAACATATTGGTGTAATATCCCTTAGAGCTGATGATGTGTGAGAGAGATTATTATATAAACATGGAAGAAATGCCTATTATTTTCTAATTCTGTTTTACAGTATTTGGAGTCTTGCCTTCATTGTAATATTTTTTGATACTATTTATCTACTTACCAATGTTTTTCAACTACTTGTTATTTTAAAATTTACTCTGACGCAGGTTGAAAGGTACCACAGATGTGGGGGTAGCATTACTTCCTGTGTTCCAGACTGGCAGCAGCACATGCCTCATATTTAATAAAATTGGAGCCAATTTTGGTTTTGTATTATTTTATAATATTTTCTGTTTTCTTTAAAAATGTCAACATAAAATTATACGTGAAAAAATTATTTTGAAATATTTTATATGTAAGTTATTTAAAAGAGGGTAGAAATCATTGTCTTCAACATACCATAGAGTGCAATGTAGATTAAGACAAAAATCAAATTGGAAGTTATATTTTAAAGGATAAATTATGCGTGGGTTTGAAGAACCTTTTTTGGAAAATTGCTCACTTTCCCTCATATATGAAGTTTGTTGGAGCTCCTGAAGTTACCCTGCACCTAGAAGATTCACCGGGGCTACTTCTGCTCTAAGGCCTCTTACATGTTACGTGTATCTGCATGGGTGTGTCCAACCATTAGATTACACAACAATTATGGCAATGCTTGTTTTCAGACTCCTTGAAAACCAAATGGGCTGTGAATTTGTGACCTTATTTGACATTTTCCTCAAAATCCATCATGCCAATCAGCAGATTTCATGGGACATCCATTCTTTGTAATTTGGGTCAAAATATATCTGCTCAAAGTTATACGCCTTATTTCAGATTGGAGATAAACAATAGACAAAGCCATTTAATTAAGGTGGGACTTCAAATTAGTATTGGGATATTTGTGTAGTTTACAAAGCTTGTTATATTTTTTTTTTTTTTTTTTTTTTTATCTGTCTATGTGAGAGTTTTCAAATGATAATCCTATTATATACACATGTATTATATTAAACTATCACTTAGCTCATCCAGTGACTATGATTATTTATCAAGTACTTAATATCGGAAAATGCAGTACTATATGCCTAGACCTTAATACATTTCTAGGTGGTCTTCTTTTGTTAAACATAGACCATTTCAAAATTATAAAACAAAGAAAGATATTTTAATTATATTTCTAATACCTGTTTTCCACGTAGGTCCTTGTGTACACAACAGTGTCCTTTGGTCTTGTGTGCCTGGTCTCAGCATTGGAACTGCAATACAAACCATTTTACTTCATGTTGAAAGTGTATGTATAAGAATAATAAAAACAACAAGGCTATTATCCAATTCAATGCAAAAAGTAATGTTGTGTGTCTTTCTTCTAGACTATAATTGTGGAAATCATGTTAAAGTGCTATTAATTAAATTCTGCAAAATTTTATTATTTCTCCTATTTTGTTCTTAACTTCCACTGTGCTGACCTACTTTCAGAGTATTAGCATGAAAATCAGTCATTCAGTAAATCTGCTCAGAGCGTGAAGATTATTTTCAATATCTGTGTAATGTGTTTAGTGTCTCTTTCCCTGATGTCCCATTCATATTTCCTACCCACAATTCTCCCCATAAACCTCAAATAAAAATGAATCATAATTTAACTATCATAACAGCATCTAATTTAATGAACTATCTAGATCTATCTAAAGAATGCCAACATTAAGGCTGGACAGGTAGCTCAGTGGCAGAGAGCTTGCTTAGCACCCCAAAGCCTTGAGTTCAATCCCCAGTACTGCAAAACAAAACAAAACAACAAAACCCACTAATATCACAATTTCATGCTTTTTGTAATTATAGACTTCTTAAGGAAAAAAATGTATTTTACAGTTCCTATCCAGATGTTCCAATAAAAAACCAAGTTGCTAATAACACTTCCATGTAATGTTATATACATATAACCCCAGATAAAATTAGAAATATCTTCATTTCAAAGGAAGGGTCAGAGGCCAACCTCAGTAACTTAGCAAGACCCCATCTCAAAATAAACAGTGAAAAGGGCTGGGGCTGTAGCTCAATGACAAATCACCCCTGGGTTCAATTCCAGTACCAGAATAAACAAACAAACAAGAACAGTCCTGTTGCTTATTGTACAATCAATTAAACACCTGAAGCTGTCCTTGGTTTCATAGGAATAGGAAGTGCTTCTCGTAGACTCATTGTGCAAAGTTTTGGTGAATCCATTGACTTGGCCACCTAGCCTGAGAGAGTAAACATAGTGTACTTGGCACTTAAAATCAGTCACTTAAAAGTTTTTTGCTTTATTAAACTTCTGTTCAATTAATATTACTTTACCTACAATTAACATTACTTTACCTATGACTGTCTGATGTCTGCACAGATATACATAGAGTACACTCATTATTTCTCTCCCTTCACAGAAACCAGACTTTAACACTTAAGAATATCCACAAGCACATGCCACATTGTCTGCTGCTAGGACAGAATACCTTTTTATCAAGGCTTGAAACCATCAGAAATAGATTCCTGCAACATTTTCACACCAGCAGTGTCATTTTATAAAGCTTCCCATGGTACAACATATCTGAGAATTTATCAACTTAATGAAAATGATCCAGGGGTTGCTCTGAGACATTCCAGTTTCCATTTTGCTTTTAATGAAAGGCAACACTTTGAAGATTGCAGAAGAACTCTGACCTAGATATCTGCTAATCTAAAAATGTCACCACGTTTCATAGAGTGGAGACACATTTGCTTTTTCCTATGGAACAGAAGAAATTCTTAATGCAAGAATAGTGAACATTTTAGCTCTTTCTCTACCTCCATGTTAGCAAACTCTGACACAGGAGAGACATGAAAACCTACAGGAGAGTTCAGATCTTAATCAAGCCTTATCATTCTCAAACAGGCTGTTCTTTCCATTTCCAGAAAGCTCTTAAAGAAGAGGAGAACATTTGTTCACATATCATCTCTGACATACAGAAAATCACCTCTGGTTTTAAGGCAGCTGTTTCATGAACATATATGACTAAGTTCAAATGATACTAAGTAGTGAAAATGTAGAATTAATTGTATTAGATTTTTAACATGATTATTACAATATGTCACTCCAGGAATAGTAAACCTAACTTGGAACTGTTTAAAAATATTCAAATCATATGACACACAATAAAAAACCCACTTACAAAAAATTGATAGCTTCAAAGAACAAAGATTATCAGTGAGACTGAAATATGTGTTGTCCTCAGCAACATAAAATAAAAAATAAACAGTTTGCAAAATCCACAAACAGAAGAGGGAAAGGCTTTGAAAATAGTACTATTATGGACTATTGTAGTCCCTCCAATTCATATATTGAAGCCCTAACCCTCCATGTGACTGTGTTAGCTCTTCATTAATTCTTCTAATGAAACCTCATTTCATAAACAAGCCCAAATGAAATTGGTACACCTTTCAAATCATATTAAATAGGAAGTTCCTTAATTATACTTAATTATTTACTTTTTTTCTGAGTAGAATTTTTTATTGTTAAGATACTTGTTACATAACATCAGTGTTTTTCTAAGTGGAAGTCATGGAGAAGATGCTGGCTTTTTGTTTTGTTCTAAAGGCACATGAAAGCAAGTTTTCTAGAGTTAACAATTTTGATAAATGGTATTTTTATGCATTACAATTCCTATTACAAATATAGAGCACATTTTTCTCATATCTTTGGTTGTACACAAGGTAGAGTCACATCCTTCATATCTTCATAGATGTACTTAGGGTCATGATGACCATCGCATTCCACTGTCTTTCCTACCCCTATCCTCCCTTACTTTACCTCCCTCCCCTTTTCCCCTTTGCCCTATCTAGAGTTCATTTAATCCTTCTATCCTACCCACCACAGCATATTATGAATCAGCATCCTTAAATCAGATCATTTGGCATTTGGTTTTTTGGTATTGCATTATATTCTCCAGCTCCATCCATTTACCTGCAAATGCCAAGTTTTTATTCTCTTTTAATGCTGAATGATATTCCATTGTGTATATATATACCACATTTTCTTTATCCACTCATCTACTGAAGGGCATCTAGGTTGGTTCCATAGTTTAGGTATGTGCTGCTATAAACATTGATGTGGCTGTGTCCCTGTAGTATGCTGTTTTTAAGTCCTTTGGGTATAGACTGAGGAGTGGGATAGCTGGGTCAAATGGTGGTTCCATTCCCAGTTTTCCAAGGATTCTCCATACTGCTTTCCAGTTTGGCTGCACCAATTTGCAGTCTCACTGTGCCTTTCCCCTCACATCCTCTATCTCTCACCATACACAAAACTCAACTCAAAGTGGATCAAGGACCTAGGAATTAGACCAGAGACACTGCATCTATTAGAAGAAAAAGTAGGTCCAAATCTCTATCATGTCAGATTAGTCCCCAACTTCCTTAATAAGACTCTTATAGGAAAAGAATTAATATCAAGAATCAATAAATGGGATGGATTCAAACTAAAAAGCTTCTTCTCAGCAAAAAAAAAAAAAAAACAATCAGTGAGGTGAATAGAGAGCCTACTAATTGGAAACAAATTCTTACCACATGCACATCAGATAGAGCACTAATTTCTAGAATAAAAAACTCAAAAATCTTAACACCAAAAAAATAAATAACCCAATTAATAAATAGGCCAAGGACCTGAACAGACATTTCTCCAAAGAAGATATAGAATCAATCAACAAATATATGAAAAAATGTTCAACATCTCTAGCAATTAGAGAAATGCAAATCAAAACTACTAAGATTTCATCTCATTCCAGTCAGAATGGCAGCTATTAAGAATTATTTACTTTTTTATTTCAAACCTCAATCACTTTCAAATAATATTTGAATGAGCTTGGTTAATTGTAAGCCACTCCTGTTCCCAAAATAGTGAATGGGTTTCCAGAATAAGCAGATCCTACTGAAAAAATTATCCTGCCTCATTCTATCAAAGACTTTCTTAGGATCATGATAAAAGATGGCAGAAGATGATTTGGACAATTAAGGGAAAAGAAAGAAACTGTCTGTTAGATTCAAGAGCCTTTTGTAGACATTATGGGGGAAAAAAGTGAGTCAGCTTTTTCCCAAGCTTTTCTACTGTCTGCAGAAAATATTATTTCTTACACACACACACACACACACACACCACCACCACCACCACCACCACCACACCAGGAAAGTGAAAAATGCCATAGGAAGGTAAATTTTTTTTAAAAAAGTATTTTTAGGCTTCTTTTACATTTAGGGGGAAAATTGCTAAACATGAAAATTTATTAATTCCTTTCCAATTTAAACACTGATAATAACAATGAAATACTGCTTTTATCCTATTTTTTCTTAATACTGGCAAATAAGGCATTACAGTTTTAAAGCTCTTATACTTTGTGGTGTAAAGAAATTTCAAAATTAGGTTCTGTTTTGTGGCTGTGAGAAATTTGTGCATTTTTTAGCACAAGGTATCCAAGGAAAAGATTTTCAGAGTGTGCTCTGCATCTCTGAAGACCTACCAAGCAACAGTAAGTAAAAATAAATCTTCACAGACCACATAAAGAGCTTTGAATTTCCATGACGCCTTTTACACTAAGCAATGGAACAGCAGGCCTTAAGTCAGAAAGTCTAACAGAATTAGAATTTTGTTAATTTTTTTGTATCAGCTATTAAGCAACTGGTACCATAATTTTTTTTTTTTGTATTTAGATAGTCTTTATTTTTAAAAACAATAATACAATCAAGTCCCCAGAAAATCTTCTAAGATTACACACTGCACACAGGGGCAAACTCATAATAAAGAGAGTAATTTATAATGAACCTTACCTTCCATTCTTTTTTTCAGACACATGAGAATTTTCTTCAATTAAATTTTCTTGGTCCTGGTCTCTGGTTACAACACAATTTTGGAAAATAAGCACATATTAGAGTTAAAAAATTAAACCTTAGTACATAATGTTAGACACAGTGATTTGTGGTCTATAAAGTGTATGGAAGATCAGAAATTGGATGTTGAGCTATTTGGCCCAACTACTAGTGGATCAAATATGAATGCACAGGTTGGGTGGAACCCCATGGTAGAGTGCTTGTTTGCAGACAGAGCATCTGGGTTCAACCCCAGGACTGAAAGAAAGAGAAAGCAAGCAAGAAAGGAAAAAGAAAAGAAAGTGTGAATTACATTGTGAGAGAAAAGTAAAAAAAAAAATTATATGTTTTTTGGAAGGTTTGGGAAGTCTTGCCTGAAAAGACGCCATTGATTTATATTCACAGTCAGTTAACATTTAATGAGGACTAAGTTTGAATCACAAAGTTCTAACTGTATATTTTTACATGATCTCTTTCAGATCTCACAAAACCATATAGGACAGCATCTAGGACTCAGAAAGACTGAATTTTCCAAGACCAATAAACTAATTTATGGAAAAGTCAAGATTTAAGGCCATATCACCTGCCCACCTAAAATCGACTCTTGAATTTTTCTTGGAGTCTTCATTCAGACTTCTGGAATAATCAAAACATAAGACATTAACCCAAAATGTTAGTCAATAATTTATGATGAGAAGGATAAATGGAGTGATTGGATTCTTAAACCTTGGGCTCCATTAATGATTTCACAAGTTTTTATAAGATACGATGTCCTCTGATATGTTAGTTGCATGCCAGCTATTTATATATTTGGTATAACATTGAAAATTCCTGGGATATGTGTGTTTTCATGAGTTTGGAAAAGGCTTTGTCTGTCATGAACTCTACTGAGGAGGAGCATTGTTAAGGAGTCAGATCAAGAAGGTTCATCTCTTCCCTTTCTTCCCTGGGCAAATTAGTCAACTTTTTAAGCTTCATTTTGTAAAGGAAGTTACTAATATCCAATCTTTCAAGTCATGATGAAAAAAATAAAACTTAGGGCACAGTGAGCACACTTGTGGGTGAATTGAATAGGCTTACATAAATTAGAACTAATGGAAGTGTAGAGATGCAGGAGCACTACTGATTCACAGTTTTGAGGGACTACATTTTATTGTTATTTGTATCCTAAATTTTCACATCTTTGGAATTAATTCCAGTTCTTAAAATTGACCTTGCCATGCCCTGAGTTTAACTAAAGTTACAATATGTGAAATAAATACATAGACTTGTACTCACAAAATTAATATTGATAAGGACAAAGAAACTATAAACATTCTCATCTTTATGTGGAGTGAGATTTAATACTTTTTATATAACATCCAAGTCATTAGTAATTGATAGACGATAGAAATTAGGCACTATTAAATAGCCACACTTAAACCTTACTTTTAAAATACTAGCTGCATGCTTTTGAAAATGCAAAAATTTGGGGTAAATTACTTTTTAATGTGAATTACAGTAGAAATATTCCAATTTGTGTACGTAAAAAGTATGATAGTTCAGAGGCAGCCCAGAAGTATCAAAATCACTAGGTTTTTTTGATCTGAATGATATCAAATTCTAAACTGAATTTCTGTTGAAAGATAATAGAATGAATCAGATATAACTTTCCTATGTTCATACGTGAATACACGACCCGTGTAACTCCACATCATGTACAAACACAAGAATGGGAAGTTATACTTCATGTATGCATAATATATCAAAATATATTCTATGGTCATCTAAAAAGAACAAATTTTAAAAATGAAAAAAAAATTCTAAATTGAACTTCTCAACTTGACAGCTAAACCTGTGTAAAGTAATCTCCCAGCTCACCTCCTGAAAATTTAGAAATGGAGACAGAAGGCTTTGGGTTTTCCTACCCCCACCATAGTCTTCATCAATTTCTGGAGCTTCCTTCTTGGTATCAGGGGCTGCTGTACCACCTTAATGGCCTTAGACATTAAGTGATCCTTCCCTTAATGTTTCGAATAATACTTCACTAAATACTTAGGAATGAAGGAATAAAATTAAATGGAGTATCCATAATCCAGTTTCCTATAACAACAAACTGGATGAATGGCAGCAGTACACGGGAAAGATCACCAGGACACATGAATCTTGGAAAATCAGAATTTTGTCCTGGAAAGTCATTCTTCCTCTACTGCCAACAATGGAAAAACTTTGCACTACATTTAAGGCAACTGATCACTTTTATTACAACTTGAGGGTAGGTCTAATATGATCTTACACAGAGTAGCTGCTTCATAAATATGTGAAGACGAAAGGTAAAGATGGCCATCTACAAGCCAAAGAGAGAGGCCTGGAACAGATTCTTCCCTCTTGGCCTAAACAGAATTAACCCTCTGACAGCTTCATCTCAGACTTCTAGCACCCAAAGCCAAACAAAGTAAATTTCTATCTTTCAGCCATCCAGTCTGTGGTCCTTTGTAAATGCAATCCTAACAAATGAATTCAGACTTCTTCTCCCTCACGAGGTGATTACTTCTAATTTCTCTGCTTGATGGTGGACATTCTCCATTCCTCTGGCACTTCCCACTCAAGATTGCTGCAGATACTGCACCTTTGCTCTGTGTATACCTCTCACTCAACTCTTTCGGGCCATAGCTTCTTTTAAGAGGGAGAAAAAATGAATTTGAACTTCAGGAAGAAGAGGAAGCCAGAATCTTACAAATCCAACAACTAAACTAGACAAAAACTGAAGCCCACGTAAGCCTTCGAAGAAGCATGCTCCCAAAGTGGTGTGAATCAACAAACCACATTGTTAGTGGCGTCATAGAATTTTTCTTTTTTCATTAAATACCACATATCAAGTTTGGTTGAGTGGGCTATAAAATTTTAAGCTGAATGAGCTACACTAATATTTAAAGCAAACATTTATTCCTGATGATGGAAAGCACCAAATGAGCCAGCCTGGTAACACACACCTGAGTCCCAGCAACTTGGGAGGCAGGGAAGGGAGGATCACATGTTTAAGGCTTAGCAAGACCCTGTCTCCAAATAAAAAGGGCTGGAGGTGTAGCTCAGTTGTAAATCCCCAGTCCTCTCCACACATACACACAAAGCACAAAATGTATATTTGCCTTGCTTATTCACTCTCTTGGTATCATGAGCTAAATCAGAAGATCTAATAAAGTTCAGACTACCCATACACTTCCCAAGTCAAAGGATGTGAAAATAATTTTTGTTTTTTTAATTAACACCACATCTATTGCATGACGTCTTTTACACTATAGTGAAAGATGAAGAACTGTGAGTCAAAGCGTGAAAAACAGATTTTATAGAAGTTCAAGCCAAATGCTGCAGGCTTGAGCAGCAAAGGGATTCCAAACGCTTCCCGTTGTAATTGTAGCAAAAGGAAGACCTTATAGCTTACAAGCAGTTAAATTAATTTCAAGGAAATCATTGATTCTTTATAGATTCATAGATTGCTAAAGAGCAAATTATTAATCATTGCAACCAGTAATAATTTTTTAAATGTGGATTTCAAGCATTGGGGAGAAAATAGGAGTTATCTATGGGGCAAAGCCACAGGTGATTTATTTTCCTCTGCCGCATTAAGTAGTATAGTTACTGAGCAGGGGAAATGGAGATTCTGGGGACCAAGAAATTATATCTCTTGCTATAGACATTTCCTAGGATAAGTTTTGATGTGATAAAATTATTACTTCACTTCTAACTGTTCTTCTCCTCTTGTGTGAGTGTAGGAGGTATTTATTAATAGGTGGCAATATGCTTCTCTCTATAGAGCTAACTTAATTTGCTTTTGCAGAGTATCATACACACTTAAAAAATTAAGAGTCTCCATATAAAACTTTTACTATGGTATTTCTTGTATGCCAGGAACTAAATCTTAGGCATTGGACTATAGTTTAAAAGGAATTTTTGTCTCCCTGAAAGGAATATAGAATACAAAGAAGTAACTAGTATAATCCTCAATTTATTGACATAATAAAATGAGCCCAGTTTTACATGTTTTTACATTTTTTTCAACAAAGATGTCTTATTAAAGAAATTAAGAGATCTATAGAGAAGTTGGACAATTTAGGTATTTTAAATATAAGATATAATTTCTAAGTGGCTCTTGTTCACCAACATTCACTAAGATTATTGTGAACAACTGGGTGTTTCAGTGCACACCTATAATCCCAGATACCTGGGGGGGGGGGCAGGGGCACAAGGTGGGAGAATTTCAAATTCAAGGCCAACCTCAGCAATTTAGTGAGGTCCTGTCTCAAAAGGTTTTATCTAGTTGGACTATCATAAAGTACTGATTAATTTGAGGTTTAGTCATTAATGCACAGAATATTTAACCTCATATGTGCCAGATACTGTGTCACTGTGCTAAGCAGTATAAAGAATAAACAAGACGGATCCAGTCCTTGACACTAATGAGCTTATAGGCAGAGAGAGATAGAGGATTAAATAATAATTCTCTCTAAGGGACAAATGTTAGGGGACAGGAAGGACAGAGCTTGAGAACATCTAGAGGATGGTGCACACATGGTGGGTAGGGCTTTCCAGAACCTGAGTGAGAGACACATACACTGTACCTGAAGGGTAAGTAGAAGTTATCCAGGCAATAACACAGAAGGAGGAGTGAAGAGCAGTCCAGTGAGAGGCCGGTGGATAGAGTTTACTTGTAAGTGGGAAGGAACAGGAGTTGGGGTGGGAAAGCCTGCAGAGGCCAATCATGATGGGCTTTGAAAACCAGGTTAAGCGGCAGGGTCATGACCTATTGGCAACTGGAAGCCGCTGAAGGATTTTAATTAGAAAAACAGGATCAGATTTGGATTTTAAGAAGATCAGCTACAGTGATTGAAGGACATCAGTAAGACTGGCAGCAGAGGAACCCTTAGGAGACTGGACAGCAGTCTGGATGACAGCAGTACTGGGGTCATTTCCTAAAAGGATGAGGAGAAGCACCAAAGTGATTGATTGTTTGATCATGGGAAGTGAAGCAAGAGTCGAGGATTTCCCCAAGTTTATGTCTTGAACAGAAATAGGAGAAATAACCAGTAGGAAGACAGGAAGGAACTTTTCTGTTGCTGGAAAACTAAAAACTTGGAGGTACATGTTAACAAATAGCCCTTAAAAAGATGAAAGTATAAAATCACAAATAGAACTTATTTTTTATTTTCTGCTTTACATGAATGATGCCTTTTCTCACTGGGAAGCCTTAGATGAATAGGTGTGCTTTTCTATATTCATTCGGGAGCAAAAATTCAGTTTTAATAATTAGTCTAACAGTTTATAGGCTACAGATAACTGAAAATCTCTCAAATGTTGGTTTATGTTGCTGCTAAAAGTCAGGCAATTTCTCACTGAATAAATAAAAATTCTGTGCACATCTGCATTTGTTCTGGTTGTTGTGTTCCAAGAAGCAGTTCAGGGATGCCTGCTTACATTCTGATAGATGATTGAAGTTTATTCAGCCCCTAACTGTGAATTAAATATACAGCTGCAGGAGATGTCAGCAAAGTCACATAAAAGGATTCTGATTCACTGCTGTTATACTATTAAATAATCAGTGCTTGTGTCTCACTGAATTGATGTAAAAGTGCCTTGTGGCTGTTCTTCCTACCAGGAGGTGCTTTAAAATACCCTTTTTTCTTTACCTGCATTAAAATCAAGAGGGCAGCATGGCTGCAATATAGATAGATACAGGTGGCTGTATCGACTGAATGAAGTCACTCTTTTCAAAGAGTTCAGTATTTCCCATTTATCTGCTCTGTAACAATTCTTGGAATTCCTGGCTGATAATCATCAAATCTGGTGTGTGACCAAAGAATAATCAGGCACAAGATGGACCAAGATGCCATCTTAAAAGATCATGATAATGAATTTTTAAATTTCCTTTTTGTAGTAATCATACTTGTGGGAGGAAAATGTCCTGTTTCCATGTATGTTTGTTTAGGAGTTGTTGAAATACAACTTTTTGTAAAATTAGTCTCTTGCAAGTAAACGAAAAGCAAATGCTATGTTGCTATTGTCAACGTAGCACACTTGCCAGAGAGGCAGAGGCAGGGGAGAGGAGAGCAGCAGAGAAAAGAGAACGGTGGTGGGGGGTGGGGAGGGGAGTGGGGGGCAGGAGGGGGGCAGAGAGAAATAGGGAGAGGGAAAAAACATTTTCTATTTTTAATTATTGTACAATATGATTATTAAATCTATTTCCAACATGATTGGAAACCTTCTAGGACTATTTCTAATGTAAAGAAAAGTCTATCCTAACAAATACCACTATGAAGAAATGGTTCTACTTAAATAAGTTATTTCCATATAATTATCAGTGGCAAGATCTAAATCACAAGTTTCTTGTTATTTCAACCATTAAAACATTTCCATTCAAGGACTAGGGATGTAACTGAGTGAGAGAGTGCTCACCCAGCATGCTCAGGCCCTGGGTTCAACCCCCCAGATCCATAAAAATTAAAAAAATTTAAAAAATTTAAAAAGCCCTTTAACTATATGTAGGGAAAACAGGGGAATAGAGAATATGAAAGGTTGAAAGAAGAGGGTCGGTGGGCATTGAAACACAGATCTTCTGTTCTCCCTCTAGGTAGTGACATCAGACACAGTTAGATGGAGGTGTTTTCTTTCTTGAGAGGGCTACTAAGTATCTTTGAGTTCTAGTATCCTCTTCCACAAAATACTAGAATATTTCTCATGGGGTGTTGTTGTAAGGACTAAATGTATATAAATCGCAAGTCATAGGGGCTCAGCAAGCACTCTAGTAGCAATTGCTCTTCAGCTGCCTTCTGCCTTCTAAGACCCAAGACCCCAGTGATGAAAACACAGAAACAGAAAGAGAAAAATGAAGCACTGACGTAGAAAAGCTTAAGAGGCCAATTAGTGTGTTACATTGCCCTTTTCTCTGACTGGATTCAAAGTACTTTTTCATAAATAATTTATGGTCTTCATCTCAAAATGTTGGGCTATGATTCCCAGCTATTATTTATTATGATAAAATTCCAAGTCAGCAGAATGATTTGGACTTCCAATACAGTATACACAGGTGAATCATCTATACTTTATTATATACTAATAAAGCACCTTGAATGGAAGACATGATATAAAAATAGCAAACTCAAGGTGGAAGTTCAAGATTAAAATCTGCTGTGATGTTTGGCAAGCCTAGACAAATTGTAGATCTAAGTTTCTAAAGACCCTAAATTTCTTTTCCAAATTGGTTCAACTTCTTCAAAAATATTTTTCTTTTATTTAATTTTATTCACTTTTCATTTCAGTCTTGAAACTCTGCTTCCTGTAGACAACAAATATTAAGTTGTTAGTGTAAAGAAGAAGCCTGGAACTGATTCTAAAGTAGTTCAATTGATTCCAGAAGAGTGCAGTGTTTCCTTGTAGATAGGATACACGTGGGCTACAAATGCATCCTTATTTGTAACACTAAAGAAAACTAAAAGCCTTCTTCAAAAAAGAAAGAAAATCCCTACCCTAGATAGAACCTTGGGAATATGTCAAAATAATCAGGCAAGGCCATTTACCGACTAGAGTTCTCCAGAGCTGAAGGTTTCACATTAATAAGATGATCCAGGTCTTGGCTATTTAAAAGAGACAAAGAAAAATTCAGGTTAGTGAAATGTTTTGCAGGTTGAAATCAATAAAGCCATGATACAAATCCATGTCATCCAGGGACAACAGAGAGATCAAAATGGGATTAACTGCTTTTATTTGAGTACCTCTGATTGTTTCTGATTACTACAGGATTCACTTTGATGAAGTTATCCAGATCTTGGTTTCTTTAAATGAAAAAAAAGGAAAGAGAGCATTTAGTGATAAAGTTATTTTTTCCAACAATTAAAATATATTTTATTAGTGCATTTAAAAAATTGTTTTTAGTTTGTAGATGGATACAATACCTTTACGTTGTTTATTTATTTTTATATGGTGCTGAGGATCAAACCCAGTGCCTCACACATACTAGACAAGAGCTCTACCACTGAGCTACAACCTCAGCCCCTATTAGTGCATTTTAATTCATAGAATAATGTAAATAATGTGCCTCATCATATTAAAAGATATTTTTAAATAAATCAAAGAAACATTAGAAAATAACAATGTGTGAAATTTATTTGTATTTAAGTGAACTTTAAAATATAGTTATGATACATGCAATTAGAAACTTAAATATTAGGTGAAATTCAGTAATTGTTAGTTTTTAGTATGACTTTGTGTGTATTATTATTATTACTTTACCATTTTAAGCTATTAAATGACTGACCAAAAAGGACACAAGCAGATGCTATTATACATAACAACTCAGATTAAATTATTTAAAATCAAACATGACAAAATGTTACAAATCAAAGTGATATAGAGTTTTTTTTTTTTTTTGGTAAAATTGTTAAGGTTATAAATCTGCTTGAAATTATAATAAAACAAAATACTCTTGACCAAAGTACATTTAAAATAAAAATGTATCCTATTACCTTTGGTTGTTTGTGAGAATTTCGGGATTCACTTTGATGAGCTTATCAAGATCTTGATTTCTTTAAGGGGAAAAAAAAAGATGAAGCAGCTTGGGTTAGAGATAATAGGATTTCAGGTCATTGTGAATGGAGGAGAGGATGACAGAGTGAGACATGGTCTTTTGGGGTAGAACCGCCATGCAATGTGTTTTCTAACCCATCCAGAGGAGGAAGAATTATGCTGTGAGAGAAGGAAACTTACTCTGACTTCACACACTTTGCTGCAGAAGTACATCTATCTATAAGAATGTGCAGGCGAGGTACTCCACAGCCAACACCCAGTGATTGACAATTTGTCACTCCAGAAGAGTTCAACAATATTAAGATAAGAACTGATTCTAATGCCTTTGCCATTTCTTAAATTATATTGTAACTAAGTGTATCAATTCTTTGAAACAATAAGGTCTAAAACAGGTTTTATTCCTTATTCTTAACGTAACTTTTTTCCTTCTATTTTATTTTATTATTATTACTATTATCATTATTATTTAGTGCTGAGGATGGAAGTGAGGATCTTTAGCATGCTGGGTGTTGGCTTAGAAGAACTCCTAGGAGACTATGGGATTTTTGCTCTCTGGTCTCAGTATTCTCATTTCTATATGAGGAGCTTGGATTGGATAATGTCTAAGGCTCTGCTCATCACTGGCTTCTATTCCAGGACTCCATGAATATGAATTTTACTCCCTATAGTGTTTATTATATCCTCTTTTAATGCTTCTTTTTTATTTTTAAATGCAATTCACTGACAATATATTCTATATTCAGCAAGCAGTACACGAGTGCTCTGAAATGTAATATATTAAACTGACAACCTATTATTGTCTTGGAGTAACATCTCTGTGCCTCTGATACATAATTAGCTTTAATCTATGTTAATTGCCTGCTGTTAATAAGATTGAGTATGACTACTGAATTCTCTTTTTGGTGTCCACAGCCTATAATTATACCTAATATGCAACTAATGATACCTAGTCTTAAATTGTGAACCCAGTAGGTGTTCAGTAATTATTCACTGCTTAAGAGATCACAGAACTACTATCAGTCTTACACTGATTTTCTCTGTGACCCTGGTCAAATCACTTAACCTTTCCATGTCCTAATTTCCTCTTTGACAAAATGAGCAATTTCAGCTGGAACAGTGGTTTTCAAAATTGTTCAAATTAACTAGGCTAGGATTCTCTGAAGTTTCTTTCTTCTTCTTTTTTTTTTAAAGGTAACAACAAAACTTAAAAAGGAAATCATGAAAACATTTCTAAGATTTCTAAGAATAAGGTGTAATGATGAGAAAATTTTCATATAACCAGGAACAAAAAGAGAATTTCATTATCTTAGAGAAACTACTTACAGAATTACCAAATTTTGGGTCCACCAAACCCTCTAAAGATCAATGAACCTCAAAGTTCTGGTATTACCCAGAAAACACTTCCAAAGGATGTAAATGATACTACTAATGAGTCTAATGAAGTTTATAGGTCTATTTTTTTAAGTTAACTATCACTAAGAATTTAAATTCTAGAGACAAAAGTATTAATATCAATGCCACACAAAACCAAAACAAAACAGCTTTTGGACTGGCTCTGTTCCTAGCACCCCCTTCTCCAATCATTCCCTTCAACTGCTTTACTTGAGGCTGAAGAAAGAGATGGGGCCACCATTTATTGTCATCAGCAGCCTCTTTCTTGCAATTAGCAAATTCTGTCGTTAACATCTAGGTTTCCAAGGACATTATAAAAACTGTGATGATATTTCAAGATCTATATCTAATTTGCCCATAGAATGGTTATGCCATTTATAATCACACTGTGCTTAGTTATAAAGAAGGAAAACCAAACAAGTAAATAATATTCTTCTCTTACCCAGAGATGCTTTGGACAGCTTTGGGGTTTACATTAATAAGTTCATCAAGACCTTGTTGACTAAAAAACAAAATGAAATAAAGTTCAGAGCCAATAAGAAATCAGCAAATATAATGACTGGTGGGTTTTTTTTTAAAAAAAAATTATTTTTATTTTTTTACAATTATAAATTATTCAATGGAATCTAAAATCTAAAAAGTAATAAGTTTATTGAGTTTCTACTTTCAATACACAGTTGCTGTTTTCTAATCCTCAGAGCAACTCACTGAGGTAGACACTATCATACCCTATGAAGAAATTAAGTTTCACAAAGACACTTTCTGGGGCTATATACCTAAGCAGTGGTTGAGGGTGACCAAAACTGAAATTGTAACAAATGGACCTCAGACTCCACACTCCTGCACCCTAACAGGCTTCCTCTCTTATATTCCTGGAAATTCCTTCCATTTGCACAATGTTTTCACCATTATCTTCAAAATAATTTTATAAAAGATGGTTTGAAGTTTCTCTGTTATACATTTATTAACTTTTGCTTCAATATGTAATAGGTCTTAATTTCTTTCTCTCTCTCTTTTTTTTGTACTGGGTATTGAAATCAGGGGCATTTAATCATCAGCCTTTTTTTTTTTTTTTTTTTTGAGACAAAGTTTTGCTAAATTGCTGAGGCTGGCTTTGAACTTTCAATCCTCCTGTCTCAGCCTCCAGCGCAGCTAGGATTACAGGCATGTGACTGTAACAGGTCTTAATTTCTCAAGAACAATGTCATGTAAAAAAATATTCTTTTCAAGTGTAAGAATGTTATGTTTCCACTTTTAGCAACCAAGTCATTTAAAAATTAATTCCTTGGGTCTATGAGAGGGTATAAAGCTAAAAATCTTTGGTTTATTCAGCTTTATCAACTTTTATTAGTTTAAACTTATACTTATAATCTATTTGTGTTGTTATTGTGTCAAAAAGAATTGCTCAAGTAGTAATTATACTAAATGGGCTTCAGTATTATCATTTTAAACAATATTATAATGAATAAGATGATTAATAATGAAAGAAAAACTTCTCTACTATTATTACACATCAAGAAATCAATGTACTAGGCACAGTGGAGCCACCTGTAATTCCAGTGGCTCTGGAGGTAGATGCTAAAGAATTTTGAGTTCAAAGGCAGCCTCAGCAAGTAAGAAACTTAATGAGACCCTGTCTCTAAATAAAAAAACAAAAAGGGCTGGGGATGTGGCTCAGTGGTTAAGCACCCCTAAGTTCAATCCTCAGTACAAAAAGAAAAGAAAAGAAAAGAAATCAATGTGTTCTTTGTTTTCATGTTCCCTTTCCAAATGCCCTTAGTCAATAATCTTTCTTTCTCTCTCCCTTTTTTTTTAACATAAATTGAAGAATTGTATTAAGACAGGAGTCTTTAATAATGTTAACAAGTTTACCTTTTGTTTGCTGAGGGGGTCACTTTGATAAGATTGTCCAGATCTTGGTTCCTAAAAATAAGTTCAGGTCAACTAAAATCAATCATTTCTATACTTTTTAAACTTAGTATTGAATCAATGACTACTGTTAATTTAAAAATCCTTCATCTCTTGAATTCCCTTTTTAGCACCATGTAAAAATGTAGCTTATGGAACCACCATTTGACCCAGCTATCTCACTCCTCTGTCTACTCAAAGGACTTAAAATCAGCATACTACATTGATGCAGCCACCTCAATGTTTAGAGCATCACAATTCACAATAGCTAAACTATGGAACCAACCTAGGTGCCCTTCTTTGATGAATGGAAGGATAAAGAAACTGTGCTATATAGATACAATGGAATATTACTCAGCCTTAAAGAAGAATGAAATTGTGGCATTTACAGGTAAATGGATGAAATTGGAGAACATGATGCTAAATGAAGCAAGCCAATTCCCCCAAAACAAAGGCCAAAGGTTTTCTCTGATAAGGGAGGAGTGGGGCAAGGAAAAAATGGAGGAACTTTGGACTGGGCAGAGGGGAGGGAGGGAATGAGAGGGGATGTTGGGAGAGAAGATGGTGGAATGAAACGAATAGTATTGCTCTATGTATGAGTATGATTGCACAAATGGTGTGACCCAACATCATGTACAACCAGAGAAATGAAAAGTTGTGTTCCATTTGTGTAAAAAATAAAATAAAATAATAATATTTTTTAAAAAGTAAAACAACAACAACAAAACCATAGCTTCTATCAATTTACTTCATGAGCAACCTTGACTATGTGAGAATTTAATTTTACTCATGTTTCTGTCAAGTCTAACACAAAGCAGAATTACTTTTAAACTTCTTACTTTCCATATTATATTTGTGTAGTCAAATTAGCATTTAGAATAGTTTTGGAGGTTATAATGAGAAACAGAAAAATATGAAACTATATCATTACTCAGTGGTCCTTGCTTCCTCCCCCTTCCAAAACACAAACAAGTAATAACAACTGAGACTTTTAAAACATTATTTCCTGGTTCTAAATTATGTAAGTAATATGTATGTCTTTATTTATATGTGTGTATATACACATATGATATAATTCTGTGCTACTCTAAGATATTAAATCATTTTAGAATCACACTTCATGCAGCCAAAGCATAACAAGCAAGATTTCAGACTATATAATTTATGGTTTTATTTTAAACTATTTGAATATCGAGGCAATCATAGCTCTAAAGATATACTGTTATAACACTGGGCTCTCATACCAACCCTAACACCAAATAGCCTGAACAAAAAGTCTTATTTGATATACTTTATTATTAGACAATGCATTAAATATTATGAAGCAAAAAAGAGACCAGAAAGACTTTATCATTTAAATAATCTTTGGGACTAACCTATGAACTCATTTTATTATGTATCTATTCTCTGATATAAATTATTATATTCTATTATGCTAAACTATATCATATTATCATTTGTGGGTTAAAAATTGTTGAATGTCAGTATTTTTGTAATGTTTAACTTAACAGAATAATTTCTTCAGTATCTTCTTTGAGTTAAGTATCAAGTGGTGATATGGGGATTCAAAAATGAAGAAAAATAATAGCACCAATAATACTAATAGGTAATATTTAATAAATAAGTATTTGAGCAAAAAGCACTTTATAAGCATGATCACATTTAATCTTTCTAGTAACTCATGATAGTTAACTCTTGGTTTTACTGATAAAGAAACTGAAGCTGAAAGATTAAGCAATTTGTTCATGACTACACAGCTAGCAACTGTACTAAAAAATCTCACTGTCAAGTGGAAGAAATGAATACACAACCATGCAATAAGTGTCAGCATGTGGCTTCTAGGAAAGACCACCTTCACCTTTAGAAACTAAGTCATCCTGGGAAAAGGACAAAAGACAATAGCTACTCCCTTCATCTGTAATGTAGAGTATTGTTTAGTCTTCAGATTCAGTGTCTGACCATAAAGTTGATTTCCTATTGGGTGAACAAACCCTGAAAATGGTTGAGCACTAAGCATTCAGAGATCATCAGTTTAATCATAAAATGAATGAAACTATATATGCAATAGTGGGGTAGGACAGCCAGCTGTGTTTTACACGTGGCCTCAAATGCATTCAGAGTTGACCCTCCTCTCCCTTCTAAATAAAACAATATCTAGTTTAAGGGCCAGCAAACTATGGCCCTCGAGCTAAATTCTGCCTGTTTTTCTCAGCCATTTTATTGGAACATGGCCATGTCCTTGTATTTGCAAGATATTTTCTATGACTGCTCTCACAGTACTGGTGGAGCTGACTATGTAGTTAAAGGAGAGACTGAACTATTTACTGCCTAACCTTTTTACACAAAGCTTCTGATATCTGATCTAGTCAAAATAAGCTCTGTTTGATGGCTACTTAATATAAAAATAGAAAACATTTCTATATGCAAAGTAAAAGAGAAAATCTGTCAGAAAGAAGGTATGATCTCGGTATCTTTCATGTCTAACTCATATTCTAACTTATATAACAATATATGTATATAACTTCATGGTTTTGTTGTCTATTTTCTTAACATGCTGTGCCTTAGAGAAAATTCTCTTTATATAAAAACCAAATGTCATTCTTTGTATTCTTTATTATTTCGATGAACTGAATATAATTTTAAAAAATGATCTCTCAACTTCAGGATAGTTTTGCGTGGTAAACAATAAGAAGAAGGAATAAACAGTGGACGAAGAAGGAAGGAGAAACTTTTATCATCTGAGGACTTTTCTTTAGGTTGCTTAGCTTTAGGAAATTGTCCTTATTTTTTTATTTTTTGTAGTTGTAGATGGATAGCATACCTTTATTTTATTTATTTATTTTTATGCGATGCTAAGGATCAAACCCAGTGCCCGACACATGCTAGGCAAGTGCTCTGCCACTGAGCTACAGCCCAGCCCATAAAATTGTTTGGGGATGATGTTTCTTTCCATGGGGAATCCCCATTTCTTTTTAGAAAACCCCAAGATGGAATATAAATCCCACACTGGAAGGATCACTCTGGTATTTCAAAGAATTATCTTTCCTGCAAAAACCCACAGCCAGGGGATCCCCCAAGCAAGGCTTTGAACACCAGCCCCTGGGATGGTGACAGAGGAAATGCTTATTTGGGGTCCCATCATTGATTGTCTCTATGGTGAGGCAGTGCATTCCATCCTATTTTTAAAGTTAGATACAAAAACCAACAAACAAAATAGGGTGAAATAGAAGACTTTCATAAACCTTACCCTGGTTTGATCCTGTTTGTTTCAGTAGCCACTTTGATGAGGTTGTCAAGACTTTGGCCCCTTTAGAACATGGAAGAAATGACCAGGTCAGGGGTAGATTTTCATCAAATTGTTACAAATATTTTTTGAAACTGAGAAATCCTTTTTGTTATAATAAAATAGTTATTAAAACAGAGACCATCTCAAGGGGTTGAAGTTTTTTAGTGATATCTATTAATCATCTATCAAATCTGCATAGGAATAATGGATAATAACTAATATCTTAGGATTTTTTACTTTTCATATGATTGCTGTGATTTATGAAATTTAACCCTCACGCCAATCCTATGACACAGGAGGTATTAACATCATAGTTCAGTAGAAGAAAAATTGAGACACAAACATCTTCTCACATGGCTAGGTGATCTAATTCCAGAATGCTTGGACTTTACCACAACACCAACCACCATATTGGAACTGAGTACCTGAATGAGTGATGGAAGTATCTAGAAAGCAGCCAGCCCCATTTCCTTACTTTGAGGATGAGAAAACTGAAGCACACACAGAAGTGACTAGTTCCAGACCACACAAGTTCAAGGGCCAGAGCCAAGACTGACCCCCATCTAACGACTCCAGCCTAGTTCTCTCTCCCAGCTACTGTGCCTTCCCTTCTGCTTGGGGAAATCAAGTCAACAAATAAAAATGTCATCTCCATCCTGGGAAAACAACTGTGGGCCTCGTTGATCAAATGTACCTTTGTTGTATCAGCAATCAATTGGCTAAGATTTTAAACTTTTCAAATCTGAGGAAGTCAGTGTTACAGGGTTTTCTCGACAATCATGGGCTCAGCATCAGTCAGCTGAAAGGATGATTTAATTGTACTTTTAAGCTTTGGTTATGATGAAATGAAAAAGAAGAGCTTATTAAATCTTACCCTTGCATGCTTCTTCCTGTTGATAGACTTACTCTGACGAGGTTATTAAGGTCTTTGGAACTTTAAACAGACAAACACACACACCATAAATAAAAATGGAATTAAATTGATTAACTCTTTTGATTAAAGCAATATATGTGTTAAAGATGAATTTTACTACTGTTTTAACAGATATCAATACTAGTTTTTCCCTTTAAAAGAGTAAACATTTTGAGGTTTATACAAATCATTGATACACTGGCTTGGTTTTGCATTTATCGTCAAAACTATAAAATTAGGACAAGATTGAGTTTTCTAAAAAATAATTGATTCAAACACAATATAACGATTTGCCTAAAACTCTTGCCCAGTTTCTATAAGCATTTCACCTAATGTTATCACTATAACTAAACTGTTTTATTGGTAAAATTCATCTGTAGTACCTTTTTGTTTTAAAGGTATTTTATATCCATTATTACACTTGATTCTTAACAACTATCCGGTGCCAAAGCAGAATGAATATTATGGACCTCATTCTGGAAAAGAAACTATGACTCAAACTGGACACTGTAGTGCATGCCTGTAATCCCAGTGACTTGGGAGGCTGAGGCAGGAGGATGGCAAGTTTGAGACCAGCTTCAGCAACTTAGTAAGAGCTGTATAAAATTAAATCAAAATAAAATAAAAATGGCTGGGGATAAAGCTCAATGGTAAAGTATCTCTAGGTTCTCTAGTTCCAGAAAAAGAAAAGAAAGAAAGAAGAAGGTAAAAGCTGTAATTCAGTATTCAAGGGACTTGCTCAAAGACACCCAGCTAGTAAGTAATGAGGTTTGGACTTTCTGATTCTGATCCAAAGGCTTTTCATCCTCTGACACAAATTGATGAGGAGGGAGAGGAAGAGAGATAAAACATAATCCTCACCTTTGGTTCCTTCTGTTTGCTTCGGGGGTCACTTTGATCAGATTTTCAAGACTCTGGCCCCTTTAAAACATTGAAGAAATGATGAGGTTAATGGTAGTTTTTCACAAATGAATGAAGTCATTCATTAAATCTCAGAAACAGTATAAGTGCGCACTGAGATCATGTCAGAGCTGAAAACTATTAAAGGTGACTATCATGCATGGAGCGTTTCTACCTCTCTGCAACTTACTGGGACTCAGCAAAACAGTCTTTCCATCTTGGAGACATTTGGCCCCTAGCAAATTTTGCATCAAGGAAAAAAAAGTGCTTAACAGAAAAATAACAAACTCTATTTCAGTGTATTTAATACTCCACTGTTAGTCTTTGGCATGTACACATGATATGTTTTATGTCAGTCTATGTACTTATCTTAAGGAAAATCACAGAAGGCATACTCCCTTAATATCAACCTCCAACATGTATAGAACTTTAAAACCAGCCTTGAAGAGTCCATGCTTTGTGAATTTGACATTCACTGGTAGACTGACTGTCACAAAAGTGTATTAAGCAAATACACTGATATGCTGAAATTCACAATCCGTGAACTGGTATGTGTTTCTGATACTTAGAACTCTGTGTTAGAATGACTCATTTTGACCTATCATTTTGGCAACGGACAATAAGAAGATTAAAATCTATAGAGTTCTGAGGTGTAAGACATATCAACTGTACAAAATCACTAAAAACACTTTGGTATTTCATGGTTACCCTTTGATACATGTCTACTTTTGATCTTAATGGAATTCTGCTTTTCTTGTTGCATCTGCATGTGTTTTCCACATACACAGTGCCAACAAATGCCTGTCTGATCTCCAGCGGGCACCGAACCGAACCGAGTGGGGATAAGAACATCAGCAGGAGGGTATTTCACACCGTTTCTCCACACTTTGGACCCTACTAAGATCCCTTCCAAAACAGTCTGAGGTTTTGTCTACACAACATCAAAGATATGAATATTTGAAAAAAGTTGTGAATATGGATATTTGGAAGCAACCAGATGTGGATCCAAGTTTTTTGCATGTATACAGATGTCTGAGGATCAAACAAGAACAAAAAACGTGAACCTTTTCAAGCAGAGAATGAAACAATTAACCTCACAGAAACAACCACTCAACTCCAGATTACTCCTTGTTGACCTTTGCCTAAATGAAGTATATGGGATTTGATTGTCAGGGACTGAGAAAACAATCCCCATGTTTCTCTTTCCAGATCTGAGTATTAAAAAAAAAAAAAAGCAAGCAAGCAGTTAAATATTATAATTCCTTCCTTTGTTGTTTATGGAATCTGTTTTCATTATATTGCCAGGACTTTGATGTCTTTAAACACTCAATCAGGCACGTAACAGTATAAGGTTGTTTAAATTTCTTAGTTCATAAAATCAAAATCAATCAAAAAAGTGAACTAATTAATGTACAACCTAATTGATGTAATAGTATACATAATATTAGGACTTAACTCTGTGAAGCAATGCCTCACAGTGAACACATCTTCAGTAGTTAGGCATTCTTTCAGGACACAGGTTGGAAAGCCCAGTGGACTAGGGCTAGGCTCTGCCTCAAGTGTTAGGGTGGATGTGAGCACAGCAGACGCATGACCGGCTCACACCAGACTTCTGTTCCAACTTGGGGAGAGGCAGGAAATAGACAATTGAGTATATAAATGAATGCTGCAATTTCAGATAACAATATGTGCTATTAAAAAAATAAAAGAGTGCCTGGAGCCTGTGGCACTGGGGACAGGGGGAAGGGAGGTGATTTAATTATATTCAGTGGTCAGAAATGACCTGAGAAGGTGACAGTGTGGGCATAGAGCATTTCAGCAAGCGGGAGCAGCACCTGCCAAGCCTTAAGGCAGGAATGAGCCTGGAATAGGAGAGATCCATCTGGCAGGGCTTTACCGAGAAAGTAAAAGACCATTGCTAAGCATTAGAATTCTATTCTATCTGAAACGGGAGAACATTGAAACATTTTTTTTTTAAGGGAAAGAAACATGATCTGACTTTATTTTTTAAAGATCTACAGAACTTCTTTATGTATAGTAAAAGAAATTAACAACTACTATCCTAATAGCCCAGGAAAGCACATACATAAAAATATAGATGCACACACTGCACATAAGTTCACACATGCAAGTACACATGCATCCATGTACATATGCACTCATATATACACAAAAGCACACTTATACTTACTTATACTCATGAACACACAAGCATATGTACAGGTATGCAATTACACACGTGTACATTTGTGTGTATGCATGCTTCCATATGCACACAAGCATACACATACATGTATGTGAATGCACACATGCCCACAAACATTTGTATGTGTATATGCATGTGTGCACACATAGGCATGTATATACATGCATACTCCAATATATTAAGAAATATAGGTCACCATTTGAAAGATTAATGAAAAAAAAATTGGAAAGGAAAAAAGATTTTTCTCAAAAGTCAAAGTAAACTAAATATTTGAACACCATCTAGATCAATAAGACAGTACAATTCACCTGGATCTTTATTATTGTAACAACTTATGTCTCTTATGTGCCAGGCATGAGAGTATTGTGATCTGATCCATCTTTGTTAGATGAGTAAATTGAGGTGCAGAAACACAGTTAGCAAGAATCAGAATTTGAACCCAGTTCTTTCCGGCTCCCTGCTCAAATTCACTGCATATTATCACCCTGAACCTTCCATGTTGCCTAGGTAATCCACGTTTTGTCCTCATCCTGTTGATGGTGAGATTGTGCCTTTGGCTATACCACATGGCCAAGAGCAGGACAGCTTGACAGTGTGCACCCCAGTTTTTAGCTAGCTGAGCCCTTGCTCTGCCAGTGGAGCCTACGGGCATTGATGACACATTTTAGAATTAACAAATAATATCATGTACTGTTAACTGAATGGAAAGAGTTCAAGGGAAACCACATGGAATTACTTAGCACACTGTTTTCAACAATATGCCAACAAGCCCAGTTTCAAAAATATTCCATCTGCTTTAAAAAGAATAATAAGCAAGAGCACATCATCTCTGTAGACTTACTTGATATTTCATAAGTAGAAGAACTCTTTTAATCAAGCATGCTCTAAGCTTGCAATCTTCACATATACACCACACTGCATGCACATACACACACTATACACAAATATACCACAATAGTTCACACACATACATTACTTACCCATACACACACATACATTTATACATACACACAACTTATAACACATGTGCATGTACACACACTACTGATATATACACACATGCACACATACAGGTACACACATTACTTGCACATACACATTCATACACTTTTACTTACACACATTTATATGCACATATGCACTTATACACACAAATGAACTTCAAATACTGTTCTGAATACACGCACTCAGAATTCTAACATAATACTTATAAATGCCACATAAAGGGGGGAAGAGGGTTCTAAATGTTTTACCTCTTGATGTTTTTATTTGTTTCAGGATTCACTTTAATAAGCCCATTGAAGTCTTGTTTTCTTTGAAAAAGAAGATGAGTTTTAATGAATGACATAAAATAAAACAGTAATCAAATGAATAATGGTTGGAAAAATTAAGAAGTGCTAAATATAAACGTTCTCTATGACAATGAAAACATTTGAAGCTCTAAAAGAAAATAGAAATTCTCTTACCGAAGAACATTTAAGGTTATTTATTAGTAAGAAACAATATTTATTTGTTAATATATATTTGCTTCCAGAATTCCTAAGTATATGAAACTTGTAATTGAACAAAATCAACTTTGCTCTCAGATATATCTTCTGAGAACTCTCAAAATAGGCAGCACTGAAGTAATGTAAGTTAGATTATTTTTTTCACTGTGGTATTGGGGCAATTAAACTCAGTGATGTTCTACCACTGAGCTACATCCTCATCCCTTTTTATTTTTTGAGGCAGGGTCTTGCTAAGTTTCCTGGGCTGTCCTCGAACTTACAATTCTCTGTCTCAGCCTCTAGAGTAGCTGGGATTACAGGTGTGCGCCACCACACCCAGCTTAAAAATTCTTTACTGATTCAGACCTTTACTGATTCATACCAAACCTAAATTTTTACTCAACAAATTCGATATAACTGTCTGTTCTGTTTTTAAATAATAGTAAAATGTTCACATAAATAATATTTTAACAATATAAAAATAATAATCATAACAAAACATGCCTTCATATAAACTTAATCATTGCCCCAGTCTAAACCTTTTAAAATATAATTTGCCTCAAAGTAAATTATGGTGAGTAATAAAAAAATAAAAAGAAAATACCTCATAAGCAAAATTATGATTCACTTTCAAGGGAACACACACCCCAATGTATTAAGTGCTACCAAAAAGTAAAAAATAAAAATAAGTGCTACCAAAAGGGGTTCAAATTGGCAATGAAATAAAACTTTCATATATCAAAGACTGAAAATTATTAGAGAATATAAAAGCGGATCCTTCAAATTCCCCAGTTGTTAAACTGCCATTTTTTCTGTCTGATTTCTCTGTGGTGAGACTGTTAACATGTTGGGGATAACAAGAGCATTGTGACAGGTATGGCTGCCACATTGACAGCTCCAAACAGCAGATAGTGGTGGTGAGCCCTTACTCCCTGTGCAAAGTAAGGACTCCCAGCCTCTCCCTAGCTGCCTTCTTCTGAGAGAAGATAATTATGAGCATTTTAACTAAGCCTTTCTCTTGGTTATCTTTGTCATTTTGGAAACCTACTTCAAAAATTTCATCAAGACTGCATTCTTTAGAAAAAGAAATGCAACTCAGTTTTCCATCACTAAAAATAAATCAACACCCAAAACTGGGAGAAAAGGCAACTTGCTATCGAACTGTGGAACACTCTGGAACATTCTTCAAAAATAGCGGTTTTATGTGGGGGGAGGTCAAGAAGGGATGGTCATGACCCATCTTTATCATGAAGCTAAAAAATCAAATTATTTTGATCATCTCTTACAGAAATCACAATTAAATACATTAATAAGTCTTACCCAGATACATTTTCCTTTCCTTTGGGACTGACTTTGATTATATTCTCGAAATCTTCATCTCTTTAAAAAGAAACATTTAGGTCACTTTCAAATATTCCCATAGTATAGGTACACATATGAATTCCATATTATTGATGGTTTATTCATGTTTGGGGACAAAATTATTACACTGATATTAAATTGATTTTTTGGTATAAAAATTGCCTAACAATAGTATAGTTGATCCCTAGGATTTTATGAGTTCTGTGTAAATGTGAATTTACATAGAATATCCTATAGACTTTTCAAAGTGAAGATCAGGACATCAGAGATGAGTCAGAAGAGAGAAGACAAACGCAGAGATGCAATAGATACTCTCAACATCACTGAGAAGACCACCAATGAATCTGGGAATAAACAACCAAGACTCAGAGACACAGTTCTCACCCTTTGCTGGTTTTCTCTGTCTTGGCATTTGATTTGATAATAGATTGAAGATCTCGGCTTCTTTGGGAAAAAAAAAAAATCAAAACTTTAAATCAGGTGAAATACAGTTTTCTGTGAAATTGTATAAATAAGAATGTTGAATGCAGCGTCAGGTGTTTTTAGGACCAAAGGACCAGAAAGACCTTTGATACTTATCCTTAGCTTATCTTTATTAATATCCACAATAGTGCTTGATTCACATCAGTTTAAATCAGTTTAGAGAAGCTTCCCAACATGACTCTCACTTTACAACTTATCCTTTATATTTCTAAATTTACATTTAAAAATTGGTTCATTTTTAAATTATTTAAGAAAACACAAAATAAGAGATTATGTAGCAGGTTTTCCTACACCTACTTCAATGCAACTCAAACACGTGGTCTGTGGAAACTGCACTCATCATACTCCTCCCTGATGTCTCTAAATAGTTTGTCTGTGGCAAAGGACAGCATAACTCTCCTGTGTGTAATGAGGTGTAAGACCTGAAAAAAGAGCCACCTCAAGGTGGGAATGCTATTTACACTTTCTCATATTTGTCAGTCCTTTGATTAACTTTATTAATACTTCCCAAGCCTTGGTTTCTTTGTAATACTAGGAGAAAAGAAAAGGCAGAGCAAGAGACAGAAAGAGGGCAGCTCTGTGCTCTGTTCAGAATCTCATATGACAGCAGCAGACTTTGCACAAGACTTAGACATAATTGGTGCTTAAAGAATTAGAAGTTCTTGGCCAGATGTGGTGGCACACACCTGTAATCCCAGCAGCTCGGGAGACTGAGACAGGAAAATCATGAGTTCAAAGCCAGCCTCAGCCACAGTGAGGTACTAAGCAACTTAGTGAGACCTTGTCTCTAAATAAAAATAGGGCTGGGGATGTGGCTTAGTGGTCGAATGCCCCTGAGTTCAATCCCTGATACCAAAATATTTAATTCAAATGGCTCTATTCATGATGCAAAATGCTCAAGATATCTTGATATAAGAGTCCAACCATTACTCAGATACAACTGAATCAACTTCAAAGTTAAAGTTCCTCCCAGGTCTCAGTTTTTGCTTCTTGGAGAGAGGTTTGGAGGGAGGTGAACTTCAGTCTATACAGCAAGATGTTGACTTATTTAAGTATGAAAATCATTCGTAACAGAGTGAAAATCAATTGGTCAACATTTTAAATCTAAATACTTGGAGGATTTAGTCAAGTAATTTCTTCTAAAGAGTTTAAGGATGTATTTAAAGGTCTGAAGTTCCCTTGAAAAGTTGAAATAACACTATTATGGCTCCGGTATACTTTGTGTGCACTGGCACATGGAATAAAACTTTCATACATCAAAAACTAAAAATCAGTAGAGAATATGAAAGCTGATCCTTCAAATTCCCCAGTTGTTAAACTGCCATTTCCTTCTGTCTGATTTCACTGTGGTAATACTGTTAACATTGTAAGTTCTTTTACTATTAGAAAGAAGGTGCAGTGATAAAGGCCTGTCATCCCAGCAGCTCAGGAGGCTAAGACAGGAGAATCATCACTTTGAGACCAGCCTCAGCAACTTATCAAGGCCTAAAGCAATTTAGCAAGACCCTGTCTCAAAAATAAAAAAAAAATTTAAAAAAGGGGCTGGGAGTGTGGCTGGGTGGTTAAGCACCCCTCCAGAGAAAGAAAGAAGTGGGGAAGAAGGAAAAAGAGCTAGGACTCTTGGACTCTTTTTTTCCTATGCTGACAAGATCTTTATTCCTGCATTAAAGTTTAGTTGCTATCAAGTTATTCTATCAAACACTTCTTTCTCTTTCATATCCCCAAAAATGATCCTCCTGAGATGTTCTTCCTATTTTTCTTCCCATTTACCACCAGTTTTGTGGAATTTTCCAAACTCTGCTTTTATATATCTAAACTTTATCTCTTCCTATAAAACTCATAAAACCCCTCAAAGAGAATTGACTTTTTCCACCTTCATCTAGTCTCCATTTAAAAATCACCTGTGATGAGTTGGCACATTTACATGAAAAATGTTTTTATCAAGCATCCTGTGTCTGTGTGATTGTTACTGCCAACACTTTCCATCATATGGACTCTGTTCAGAGTTCAGTTTATCAGAAAGAATTGAGAACATAGCTGCCAAGATCGACTTGGAAAGTTAGAATACCATTCTATACACAGATTGGCACAGATAAATGGTTTTTAAAAATAACTGTGACAATAGAAATGATTATCATGTTAGGAAGGCAAATAAAAATGACTAACCAAATACAAAGGAAGTAACCAATTTTGGGGAAAAATAATAGAAATCTCATGAATCCTTACCCTTTGTCATTCTTGAGTGCTTTTGGATTTTCTTTAATGACACTGTCAAGAGTTTGGTTTCTTTCAATATGAAAAAGGATGTCAATAATTAAAGTTAATTTTATAGTAGACCAGTATATTAATCTCTCAAATGCTGTTAGTTTAGTTACTGATCATGCATTAACTCATTTTGTGATACAAAATAAATAAAAGCATGGCTTTGGGCCTTAAGTTATTTATAAATACATTTGTATACATATACATATGAAGAGGCTACTAAGATTCCAACTTGGTACAGCTGGAATCCACGTTTTAAAGACTTCAACATTGAGCAGCTATATCCCCAGAAACAGTCTTACAGTAACTGTAAATGCATAAACAATGCAATGGTTTTCTATTTGTAATAGCCAGTTGAGTTTCTTTCACTTTTAGAATCAAAGGGAACTTGGAGATCAGCCAGGTCATAGCCCCTAGTTTATGGGTTGAGGAAACAGAGGTCCCCATGGTCACCCATATTGATGCTGCAGGCAAAGCCAGCACTGAGACTCCCACCCTCTCCTGATTGTGATCTAGGGCCTATTCCTCCAGCCGGCCTGACCCTTGCCCTGAGAAAGAGGTCTCCCCCAGAAAATAGTAGACACACTAGGACCCAACCAAAGCAGCCTGTCTTGATCAAATCTTACCCTTTGCCACCTTTGTCCGTCAAAGTATTCACATAGATGAGACTCTCAAGACTTTTGGCTCTATAAATACAGAGAAACTCAAATAAAAACTGCACACTGAAATTAAATTGTGTGGTATCTTGAAAGGTCAAATACAATAAACATTCTCCATGAATTGCTCATTTACTCCCATTGAATAGAAGAGTAAAAATCCTTCCGGGCAATTGTATCTGAACTCAATGTACAATGCAGAGAGCACTAGCCCATCTGCTCATGCATTTCCATGCTAGAGGATCAACTCCCTTCCAGATAACATGTGAGGAGTAAGACAAGCAGTCTGGGAGATAAGATTTTCGGATCAGAGACAGATGCGCTTACCTTTTCTCTGTTTGCTCAGCCTTTGGGTTTGCTTTGAAGAGACCATCAAGACCTTGATTCCTTTAAACATATTGATGTAAAAAAGTCTCAGCAGTAATAATGATGAATGTTTAACTTTAAAATATAAACATAGATCAGTTTACATCTAAAATAGGAAATAGAAGCTGGTTGGAAAAGATGAACCACAATTCTTTAAATTGCTTTATTCCAAATAGGTATTTTCACTCAAAATTAAATTGTAGTAAAGCTTCGAGAAGATGAATTAAAAGACATAAACTGGGGGTCTGCCAATAGGTTCATGAATGCGTTGCTTGAATATATGTCATTCTTTTTAATGTGAGCTAGTGTTTACAGGGATGGTCATGATCCTAAATATTCAGAGTCTCCTGAAAATGTCCTGCAAGAGTGGACCCAAATTTGCCTGTGGTAACCCTTAGCTGAAACTGAGAAGTCAAACTGGTGCTTCTGGCAAGACATTCACCATTTCTGACTTGGTTCCACCACTACCTGTTTCATACAGCCAGTCACCTCTGGCAACTGCCTGTCTGAAACTTCCTCTCTTTGTAAATGAGAAAACTGAAAAGCGGCAAAATTCAGTGACTTGTCGATAGATCATTACTGTCTAGAGCCTGATATGAAAATCTTATCTCACAATCCTCTGACTGATTCATTCATTTGACTTTTTAAAAAATTTTCTCCTTTTCTTTGGTCCCTGCTGACTTAGTTTGTTAGCATACAAAGTAACAGAGAGATAACTAAAATGAAATACACCCTTTCTGCCTCCATCATAAATTTTTCTTTCAGCGTAATTTAAGTTTTACAATTATAAATGATCCAAGATAAAGAGATAATGGTAACTAGGATATTATGGGTTTTGAAATGGTTAAGCTAAAAGCATTCGGCAATCAAACCAAACTCTGTGTATATAGAGCGTATTAATATTTCACTTAAAAATGTGGTTATTCATATGAAGCATATGCAGTATGAAAATCAAAGACACTTTGTATCCAATGATAGGACTGAAGGCTGAGAATAAATAAAGTCTTAATTTTTAAGTCTTACCTGTTCAAGCTTTTGTTCATTTTGATGATATTATCCAATTCTTCACTTTTTGGAAAAGAAAAAGAAAACTCATATTAGTAAAAGGCTGCTCAGAGTTGATGGGTAGATATACCTTAAAATAACTCAGTTCTCTGAAATACAACACATATCCTACCTAAATCACCTGCAAAACTCCTGTTTAATCTTCAAGGCTCTCCTTAAATGCCACTTCCAAGGTCCTAGTCCCCAGTCCTCCAACTGACTGAACTTCCCTACGTTTTTGGAATAGTTACAGTATTTGGAGTTTGGGGCATCTCCTTTAAGGTGCTTCTGTTGATTACACTTTGTATTATAGCAACTGCACACTTGTCTTATGTTAGTGTCCCTGCTCCTACATACACACATCACTTGAGATTTAGAACTGTATTTTATACGGCATCCTCTTCAGTCTTTAATACTGTGCTTTTAAGTAGATCCTTAATACACATTTTTAATTGAATCAACAAATACAGGTGCTGACTCTAGATTCTGTCCCTGCATGAAGTATCTGCACATAAAGTAGCTATGGAAGATGCTCACTCATCTGTAAGTCTGGCTTCTATCTGGAATTCTACTATTACCCATCTAGGTCAGTCAGCTAAAAGTGCTAGCAATATCTGAGAACTGCAAAGTTCTGATTGTTTATTTTAGGAGTAACCTATTTAAGCCAAAATCCTGGGTTCAGGAATTTCCCTGAAACCACAAAAACTCGGTTTTCTTCCCCAAGCAGGTAGCCTGGGGAGAGTTGTTCCCAAGAGTGCCCTGACTTGCTTCCTCCAGTACATTTCTCCTCACACTGTGTCTTCTCCCAAACTTTTCTCTCCCTCTTCTACCCATTTCTCTTGCCTTCCTCATTTAGTTTCTCCATTCACAAATCTTGGTTCCTCTTCTTTCTCCTCTAGGCTTGCACAGTTTCCCAAGCATTCTTATTGTCCCGCTTTCTTCCTGAGTAACCTCTGGAGTTAGGGTTAGGGTTAGGGTTAGCTGATGACCAGGAGGCCGTAAGAACTTGTAACTTGTAGTTACACATTAAATCTTCCAATTCAGAGACACCCACTTCCAGTCTGGGATTCACCAGTCATTCACTGGTGACCCTAGCTGAGTTGCCTCAACTCTTGTTGACTCAATTTTCCCATCTGTAAAATGAGAATGCTAATTGTATGTATATCAGATAAAAATGGCTAAGTTAATGAATATAGAGTGCTTAGCATGATGCCCAGCAAGTCATAAATTCTCAATTAATTCTGCCAGCATAATAAACAGCATTCTGTCAATTCTAGATGGTTCATGTAGTAAATGTTTTCTATATTTATTTATTAACTGAATTTAAAGACATCAAGACAATGTCATAGCCTTGCAGTGGCTAAGTCACTTTGTGCAGTAAAGATGCCTAGCATAACACTTTTACCATAATAGCTGCCAAAGGCAATCTTGTGGAAACCCTAAAAATGTTAACAGCCATCATATAGGGGAAGAATTTCACATAATCTTATGTATTTAATGATAGGACTGAAAGCTGAGAGTAAATATCGAAATACAAAAGTTGCTGACACTGACCAAAAAAAAAAAAAAATTGATTAGTGCTCTATCCTTGTGTGGGACAAATACCACATCAACCCTAATATGGTGTCCTGTTATTTTTTCTTGCTCAAAATTTTACCTGCCAACTCTGAGGATGTGAATCTGCTCATGTCCCAAGGAAAAGAGCAAAGCTAAGAGTCCTATAAATTTTGTTCCAGACCATTCTGACTGGCATGAGTCACACTGAAGAGGTTCTCAGGATTCGGGGTTGCTTGTGTTTATCTGAAGAAGATTAGCATAAACCATGAGAAGATACTCTGTGGTAAATTAAATAAAATGGAAACTATATTCTACATAAAAAAACTTGAGCTTTCAACATGACTGTAAATCAGTGAAAGCTTTCGCTATTCAATTTCACCATTGCATTTGCAACAAATTAAATGCCCTTAATCAGATAGCAGTAACATTTAGTCCACAAAGAGCAGCTGGAATAAATAACACCATTTCTATTCCCTCTGGACAGCCTGTAGTACATTGTCCCTGGTGCTTATCAAAGCAACGACTTCTCTATGAGATGAACGTGTGTGGCTGTGAAATTTGTCCATTGTGGGTTGGAGGTGGAGACAGGAAAGTCTGCTGCCCTCATTGTTTTTCTTTGATTAATGCCAAACCACAATTTCCTCTTAGCATCACTCACTTATCTCCTCCCAAATGTCCCCATCGCCCACCCAAAAATTGTTCAGTCCCTACTGAAAACAAAATATCCTCCACACAAAGTAAATTAATAAAATGAGAGCATTAGGAACTTAGATGGGAGAGGAAATGGACATAAAACATCCAAATTCTTTCGACAGTCTCCATGTGGCTGCAGAGTGCCTATGGGCTAATGAATTTATAGAGAAACACCAAGTGTCACTTTGTTTCTTCAGTTCTTTTGACTGAGACAGAAATCTCTAGTAACATTCTTATCATTATTAACTTCTATCCAACAAGGAAAAATATTGTGGGTTTGGAATTTAAACAATGGAATATTTAAACTCTAGGTTGTCTCACTGCCCTTCATGATTTTAACATGATCAGCTATAAACACCTCCTTAGGACAAAACAGTGTGACAGATACTGAAAATCACATCTGGCAAATAAGACAGCATATCTGCCCTGAAGATTATGGGATGAGAGGGAGGGGACCCACTTACACAAATAACATGGAACAAGAGCAACTGTTATGAGCTTTGCAAAATAGGAACAGTGGGGCTCCAATCTCTTGGAGAGGCAAAAGTCACATCTCACTGGATCACTCAGTAAAGAATTCACAGGGGAGGTGGTGTTTGATCTGGATCTGGAAAAATAGTAGGACTTGGATGGACTGAAATGGTGACCTTGAGGCTAGAGAAGACTGTCACATGGAGGGGATCCCTAAACCAAGGCAGAGTATCTGGGGATACTGTAAGGTAGTGGTCTCATCTGGTACTGAATATAGGATTAACAACATAGGTGAAGTCAGAAATAACTCTGGAGCATCAGACTTGGAGCCAGGTTAAGCAACAGCATTGAATGAGTTTGTATGTAATTAAATGGGTGATAGGGAGCCAGGACAGTAGTTGTATGAGCAAAAACTTAATAGAAAAAAAAAATCTCTGGCACTGATGGGCAGTTATGGTTCAGAGGCAGGAGAGACTGAGTAGCATAAGTAAATCTGACCAACCACTCTAACCACTATGAGGCAGTCAATGAGGGATTGAACTGGGAGAAACCATCAATGCAGAGGAAGCATTTTAGATATTTAATTCATACCTGTCTATACTACATGAAGGGGGGTAGGGATGAAATAATCAAGAATGATTTCACAAAGGTGAGCCTACAGAAATTAAAGAACAGAAGTCAGGAAATAGCACCTTTGGAAAGGAAATTGAATACAGCCTAGGACATCCTAAATGGGGTGTTGGGGAGACTGATAAGTAGAGATCTGGGCCAACAACATAAATAAAGGACTGGAGATTTGGAATGAGATGTGGTGGCTGAGGTCACAGGACAGATAAAATCAGCAGAAGAGGAAGCAGAAGAGTGTCCATAAATGTCACCATCATCCATTATTCAATTATTTGTCTTTGAAATTATACGTAATAAAAAAGCACAGAGATTTTGTTCATATTTGGACATTTTCAAGGTACTGGTGAGGCGTTTTTGACACAAGGCATTTTGACACAGCTTGTGAGCTCTCAGACCACTCACCCTTTGTCAGTTTTCCCCATTGATGTGGCCACCTTGACGATGTTATCACGATCCTGACTCCTTCAAACAATGGGAAGAGGCACAGGTCAATGACAGTGGAGTGAGCTTTGAAGGAGCTAACATTTCTCATTTGTTTCTAGTGCAGAAATTTGTAGTACATGCGTTGTTCAGGAATTACTGACTTGAGCAGAATAACAAAACGGTGCTATCATATCAGCTCACAACACACACACACACACACACACACACGCACGTCTGTAGCCTATGCAATGTCATTTCACCTGGGTGCTGGAAATCCCTCTATTGGTTCTCAAGCTCCACACTTTAAAAAGGACATATAAAAGAAAATGCAGTTACAGCACAAGGAAAAACAGAAGCCAAGTTCAGAAGTCTTTCTTCCAGATCCAAGGAGCATTAACCGATAGGTGTGAACAATTAATGAGTCTCTCAAACAGGGTGAAAATATCTGTCATCTCAGCGTTTCAGAGGGGAAAGAAAAGACACTTAAACTATTGGTAGAAGCACTTGAGACACAGAAGGCTTAGACCCAGGCTGACCTCCCTAGATCATGGAAAGGAATAATTTAGTCCTTATAGTTTCACCTATAATTAAGACCTGCATTTTCACAAATGTCTCATAGAGGGTTAATATGGTTGCATGAAGAAAAAAAAATGTTGTCATCAACTGAGTTTAGGAAATGTAACCTACTTTAGGTGATTCAAAATTCACACAGGCATGCTGAAGGTTCTGGAAAGTTCTAATCAAGAGAACACTATGTCATTGTTTCCTTGTGTACTGGACCATTCAACCCTTTCTTTCCAGAACATGCATTGACATCTGTGTTAAGGGGAACACAGTTTAGTGAAATGCAGAGAGCTCCACTTTAAGTTCCTAGGTGCAAGGAAAAGATGATTCTCCCAGAGGTAAGGTATCTGTGTGGTGGGTGTCTCAAACCTGACTCTTCTGAGCATCAAAGGAGAGATAATACTGAAAAAAAGTTTATAAATTGGAACTTTAAAAATCTGTCAAAAAATTATTTACTGAAAATTGGTTTACGATGTTGAAGTACCTACAAAAATAGCATTGCTCAAAAAGTATTTTTAAAACTGGTATTTTTTTTCCTTAAAAAAAGAAAATAAACAGACAGACAAGATACAATCTAGAACACATGTTAAACTAGACAGGATGTGCAAAACAATAGGTGTCAATCAGGACTGTCCTGGAGAAGCCAGGCATTTGGGAAATGCCACCCTACCCAAAGGAATCAACACAATTTGTGAGCCTGTTCCTTATGCTGCAGGGCGAGCTGGACTTGACTTTCTATCACAAATACTACTAAAGCTCTTGTAGTACAAGTTCAACCAAATGATATCTTTCTGCCTATTCATTCATATACCTGCTATATGCCACAGACCTGGAGGCAAGTGCTGGGACTACCAAAGTGAACAAGTTTCAAGAGATTTGATCTTACTCTGTTACTATGCTCAAGACATTTTGGTTGTTTGCTCAATGTAAAGTTTAGGATTGAAATACAAGGCTGGGGTTGTGGCTCAGTGGTAGAGCACTCGCCTAGCACATGTAAGGCCCTGGGTTTGATCCTCAGCACCACGTAAAAATAAATAAATTAAATAAAGGTATGTGTCAACTACAACTAAAAAAATACTTAAAAAAAAAGAAATACAAGGATCAAAATTCTGTAAGTACTATAAAAGCATTTATTATCCACTATATTAAAGCCATCAGAAAAATTAATTTTATCTTTTATTATTGTTTCATATTTTTGAAGTGTACTAATAAAACATATTTTACCACTGCTACAATTAGATCTATATAGACAGAGATCATTGTACCTTATATTTCTTTCAACAGATCTGCTGGTTTCCGTATATACACCTGGCTTAGGTGGACATATCTGCCTGTATTTAAAGATAATGTCTGTTAGATAAGAAAACATTTCTATGTTAAATTTAAATTTAACAGAAGGAAATATTTGTGTTAAAAATGAGCAGTATATGTTGAAATCATATTGCTACTTAACATAGCAAACTCTACCCTAGTTCTTTGGGTTGGCAGCAACTCAACTATTTCCTGTTTAAAAGTTTCTAGAGAGTACAAAAATACATATATTATTGACCAAATTATATTGTTATATCATGTGCATGTATGAATATGAAACAATAATCCACTATTATGTACAATTATACAACACCAATAGAAAAATGAAAAAAATATAAAGACTCCAATATACTAATTTTATAATTTCACCTTGTTTTAATATATTTTGTACAACAAGGTGTGTTTAGAAATATCTGTTCTACATATGTTCATGTTCACTCTTTTGGTCTCTGTTCGTCAAAGCACTTTCATACATATCTCCATTAGATAATGAAATAACATTTTAAAATATTAAGAATATTTTTTGTTATTAAGCATCAAAGGGATGATGTTTTCCTTGAAGACTTATCCCATCTGATAACTGTCAAGAAATACATTTGCTTGGACAAGACAGGAAATAAGTCTATATTTCAAATGCAACTACCATGTTGAGAATGGCCCCATTGAGCTGACAGCATCAAATTTTACAATGCTAGCGTCTGTCACAATTTATGACATCAGGCTTTTCTCTGCTCTTCTCAGTATCTGGTTGACCTACTTATACACGCTTGCTTGCTCTCAAGGAGCTGTATTCAACTATTTTTTGTTCTCCTGAGGACATGTGTTAATTACATAGGAAACACTTCCCTTTCATATTCTTTCATTAAAATCATCTTGCTGTGATTAAAGTAATCAGCCTTTAAAAAAAACATGCAAGTTGTCCCAATTTTATTTTTCAGATCATTTATGGAAGAAAAAGATTCAAGTAGTAAAATTTGACTAGACCAATTCCTGTGAAATTTAGCTTTTTTGGAAAATCTAAAGTTAACTATGTGTTGCTGATTTTTAGATTAGAATTTAGGTGGTACAAGGCAATTTTCTTTGGGTTTTTAAAAAATCCTATTTACATTAAGATTTAATTGCTCAATACTTCTTTTATATAAGAGTAAAAGAAAAATAATCGGGTAAGAGAAAAAGCTTGAGAAGCTGTTTTAATGAGACAATTATAACCATTGAACAAATGAAGAGTTACACATCTAATCCATATTATTAACTGGTTTGTTGAATAGATATTCTCTTAACTCATTAGAAAATATACATGCTGTCATCCTGAGGGCAAAATTTCAAAGATCCGATGGAGTTCCACTGGAGAGAAGTTCAGATCTGGAGTTTTATCCCAACAAGATGAACACCTAAGGTGCGTCACGGTCGGCATTTCCAGCCAGTCACCCTCTTACTGAAGTTCTGCAGTTGTGACTTTTTGAAGAACAGCTCTACAATTGTGTCTTACATGGTGTCAGAAAAATCACCATCAAAAAGCAAAAATACTAAAGAATCAAAGGCAAGTCTAATGTATTCAGTTTTCACTGATATCATTTTTAATCTCATAATAATAATGGAAATGTGGAATGCAGGTTTTGCAAAATGGTTCACGATTATTAAGCAATTGAACAGGAAGACTTGGGAAGATTTTAAATCTCTGAATATGTTTCTAATTATTAATTACAGAGTGACAGGTTCACATGGAAAAGCGTCTCTGTTTTTCCTGCTTCAGAGACAAGTTAATACAAATATTTTTTCAAATTTTTTGAGAGTTTTGAATTAAACTATCCTTCTTAGCTAAGAAAAAATAAAAAGCAACCCCAAAAGGTATTTCTAACATAATTGAGGATTTCAGTAGTAACACAAAGTTTCAAGGACATTTTTCATCAGAATATAGAGCTCCTAATGGGAAACTTAACTAGGAGTAGATATCAATCAAATATGTATACATATAGTTTAATATGGTTTATAATTGTATATGTATATAATATATATGCCAAGTACATACATACATCAGTATGTGAATATTAGAAGCTAACATATAAGAAGCCTAAGCACAAATACATGAACATGAATATATTGTTCCGTTTTTATCTCAAAAGTGCATCTCCATAAGACAAGTAATAGGAATTAGCATTCAAAAGCAAACATAAATACACAAGCATGTTAACAGATAAAATCAGGAAAAGTTCTATGTGCTTCACTTGTGAATGTGCATGCAAAACATCCTCACCTCTGGCACAAAGTGGATCCCAGATCATTTACTCCCATTTCCCTTGAACTTCATTTTGGCAATAAAGTCTGCAGTGCCAGTTCTTACCTATTGTCTGGTCTCAGCTGGTTAGGAGAAGGAACAGGAGATCTGGGCTTTGGAGGTATTGGAGGGTGAACAGTTGGGTCCCTTTAAAACAGAAAATGGCAGTTCATTTTTTTTATGGAAACATGGTGGATTTTAGCATCTATTAACCTAACACATCTACTGCCTGCATGAAAACATCTCTTACATCTTCTAATCCCCTCCTGTGAGGGCCCTGAAAGGTCAGCATCCATGGAGCCCAAACTTTAAAGAAGTCAAATATTTCAAATATGCATTTTTAAAAGGTTCATTCAATCAAATTTTTTGAAACTTTCTCTTCTTTAATTATGGTTTGAATTATAATATATTCTTTAAGTGGCATAATACTTCACTAGTCTATTTAGCTCAAGTCATGGCATTTTGAGTCAGTAGCTCATGAATGTAACGAAGGGTTCTTGGGCCTTAGCATATAAGCTTCTTTAGGAATTATATCAACCATCAGACTGCTATGGAAACAGCAAGAAAGGTTTTCAATTTCACAGACCTCAAGGTAAAGTTGCTTTGAAGCTTTTAACTGAATCAAACTTAAATATTGTCAGCACAAGCCAGTTTGATGTTTGCAAAGTATAAAATATACTGTTGGCCTAAACTTTCCAATGAAGTACCAAAGTAGTCTCTGAGATAGCATGATTTAGTGACCTAAGAACTGGAGACACACAATTACATGTATATTTTCAATGGAGTCAACTCCTTACCAAGGGCATGTCACTACCCCTACCTCCCACACCATTATAACAATGTTCTCTGTTGTCCTCAAGATAAACTCTGTATCCAATAAAAGTATCCATGTCTCTGGACTCCAAGGATTCTCTGGCTTCTACCAGCATGCTAGGTAGTCAGACTCTGGAGTCAGTCTGCCTGAATTGCCAGCTGTGGGACAGTGGGTTAATCTAATGCTATTTGTTCATCTGTAATAATCCTTCTAATAGGATTATTGGGGTGTTGTCAGGACTGAATGAGACCATGCTTTCATTCAACAGCCATTTATTGGTAGCTTTCTATGTGCAACACACTCCAGGAGATGGACAATGTCCCTGTCTACAAAAGGTTTTCAATATACTTCTAAGTGTGTATCAGAGAGAGAAAAGAGTTATGTAGAAAAATAAATGTAGTAAGAGGATAGAGAGAAGGGGTAGCAACACTGTTTTATTAAGAATACAGCACTACTTGTTTTCTCTGTAAGGTGAAATGTGAGCTGAGACTTCCAGGGAATGATGGAATGCACCCTGAAGATATCCAGAAGAAGACCATATAAATATGGCCACCATCGTCTTGGAGATGGTATTTGATGCTTGAAACTGAATGAGATCACCAAGGGAGTCAGTATAAGCAGAGACAAAAAGAGGGTCAATGTTTGGGCTGTCAGCTCCTACAGTATTTAGAGGTCAAGCCTAAGAGTAGGAAACATCAAAAGAGCCCAAGGAGGAGTGACCAAAAATAAAAGAAGAGAAATAGGAAGGTGTGGTATCGTGAAAGCAACTGAGAAAAGAGTTTCAAGGAAGGAATAATTGGCACTATCCAATGTCACTAATAGACCAAAAACACAAGGACTGGAAAATCAGCATGGGTTTGACAACATGGTCATCATCAATAACCCTGATATGGGCAGTTTGGGTAGAACATTGTGCTGGACAAAAGAACATAATAGGAGTATGTTATAATTTATTTATGAAGTGTCCCTCCAAAGCTCATGTGGGAGACAGTGCAGGAAATTAGAGGTGAAATCATCAGGCTCTGAGAGCCTTAACCTAATCAGTGCATTAATCCTCTGATATGGATTAACTGGGTGTTAACTGACAATAATGGCTCAAATGGAAGGCTTTGAAAGGCAGGATGACATCACACTGGGTTAGGGTCAGGGGTACGGAGTCTGAGAGAATGGTCCTGCCTGGAGTTTCTATAGAGATCCACAGACATGAGCATGGAAGACATTATGGAATTTGTCCTGACGACTCTTTGGCTGTGTGCAGTGGTGAGGCTTTTGGTGGGGGGATGTACGGTGGGGCAACAGTGAGTCTCCTGGCTCTTGTGTTGATGGTGGCTCTGAAGCCAAAAGAAGAGCAGAGAACACTAGTATAATTTGCTTAGAAATAGTTTCCCCATACTGGCTCAGTGTCAGATTCTATAGTTAGAGACTATTTGGTTTGTATTGAAAACATCTTTTTATTTTCCCCTCAAAAAAATAAAATAAAATCCCTGTGTTGGGTATATGTGACAAGTGATAACCTTTAGTGTATCTGTGTGGCTTAGCTGATTCAATGTTTCCCTGCCAGAAGCAGAGGAAAGGCAGAAGGAGGTGGTCCATCCTGAGTGATAATCAGGCTGCTGCACAGGGCACTGGATATCTGAGGACAGACGGGAGAGAGGTAACAAGATGGGAAGGTAGATTATCGAAAGGAGAAATAGGATGGGGCCAAGCTTTGCTTAGGACAGGACCATGTTGAAGCAATGTTAAATGTTAGAACATCTAAGGTCTCAAAGAGGTAGGTAAATATTGATGGGGTGGGTCTGGGAGGTAGAGATAGATAGAACAGAAGGAGATCTGGGATGGTCTGACGAGCACTTGGAAAAAAAAAATACTGGTTGTAAGGTTGTGAAGACCAAGGAAAGCAGAGGAGGATCCTTAGTTCCAAGGTGTGCCATATACCGGACAGGGTCAGGGCATAGGCAATGCCACTTGACTTCAGTTCACCTCTAGGACCTTTCATGGGCCTCTCTGCAATGACAGCCACAGATGACAGAGCCCAAGCCTGGGGTGGGGGTAGGGGATGAGAGGAGTCATTCATACTGTGCCAAGAGCACGAGGCAATGCCAAGCAGGGGATTAAAATGCCAGCAGCAAGCAGGAAGCTGTGGCCTGGGGTGTTTGGAAGAGAAGGAAACAAAAGACATTTATTGGAGTGATCCTGATTGAATTCTGCTTTAAGACATGATGCTTAAGCTGGGGTGAGGTGACCCCAGCTCTCCCCTCTGTCCTCCCCCACAAGGCCTTTGTGGGATCTATGCCACCACAGTAGTGGCTAAAATTGTAAAGAACAGCTTTGAGGAAAAAAAAGGCAGTTTTCACAAGAAACATATGACAACTTGCAGATTGTGGTACAAAGACCAGAGCTAAAAGAAATATCAGCATGAAGAAAGCTGAGTATATTACTTCATTTCCACAAGCTGCTGCAAAGATCACTTCTTTCCATTTTGTCTTCTTTGGATAACATGCTTGGCTCTGAGACTAGTCCAAGTCTGACTTTGCAAACATTTCTACAACTGCAACACAAGTCTAGGCTCCACCAAGAACAATTGACCCTCATATTTAATGGTGAGTTTTGTTTTCACTTTTCATTGAGCTGAGCTTTTGTATTCCACAAATAGGATTTTTATTCCATCAATGGCAAAGGAGATGGAACTGATATTGATGGGGCCTCCATACATATCAGCTTTGCCAGGATCTCGTGTACATTACTTTATTTGATCCATACATATAACTTTTGGGGTATGTATTATTTTTTCACTGGGACTCAAAAAGTTGGGTCATTTGCCCCAGCACATATAGTTAATTAGTGACTCCAAGTTTCAAGCTAGTCATTCCAATATCAAATCTCATGCTATTTGTGTACATTATAACCAGTTCTCTTCCAGGTATTTCAAATGCGTATCTATTACAAATAGGTTGCTATGAAGTAGTTCGTCACCTAAGGAAGGAGCCATTGGGTCAACGAGCACTGATTCCACAACTGCCCAATTACAATGTTGGGCAGACAGCAATGGATGTGCAAAACTGGGCATTCATAGTCTAGAAAACATGGCCCATCCTTTCAAAGAACTTATATAATGCAAGGCCTAGTTCAGAGGAATGGTTATTGTAGTGAAGACTCAATTTCTAGCAGCTAGAGGCCATTTCCATCAATCATGAGCACAGTCACAGAACATGTGCTGGACCAGAATCCCGGAGACTTAGCTTCCAGACTAGCTTTGCCACCAACTCTCTGTTTGACCCTGATAGGGAAGCTGATTCCTCTGAACCTCTGCTTCTTTATCTTTAAAAGAAAGAGATTGATGCAGATCTGTGGATGGCAAACCACCACGTGACCACAGGAGGGCAGAATTATTGCGAAGACTTCTCGATCTGCAAAGCCCTGAGCTCAAGCTAGACACTAAATACCTGGATATCCACATACTATACTTTTCAAATGTATGCAGATGCTGTTGTGGTTAATAAAATTTAAACTTATGTTGAAGCTGGAAGAACATATATCAACTTTAGTTGGTCCCAGGGTTCAGATTTGGTTGGTCATATATTAGAGACTTGGTTATTCATATATTAGAGACTTGGTCCTCAGTATTGCTACATTAAGAGGCAGTAGAACCTTTAAGACATGGGACCTAGAAAATGAACAGGTCATTGTTTTGCTGCCCTTAAAGGGGGTTAATGACAGAATTCTTGTGGGACTTCAGTTAGTTCCTGCAAGAGTGGGTTACCATAAAAGAGCAAGCTTGAATTTCTCGATGGTATCCTGTTTGGCTAACCACCTCTCCCTACTGCATGCACTCTCACCACGGTGACCTCTCACCAGAGGTGAACAAGTGGGGTGGCCTGATCTTGAACTTGCAGCCTCCAAAATTGTGAGCTAAATAAAACTCTCCTCCTTATAAATATGCATCTTTAGGTATTTTGTTAGAGCAAATAGAAAATTCACTAAGATGTTTGGTTAATAGACACAAGGAACTTTTAAAATACTGCTTAAGTCATAAATGTTTTTGGCTCTTAGATGTTTTCTCAAAGACATAGCAAAACCAGTCCAAACATTAGAAGATGAAACTGAAAACATTTTAGCATTAAAAAAGAATCTACTCAAACTAGACCATTGACCTATGGTTAAACATAAAACTGTAAAACTTCTAGAAGGAACTGAGGAAGAAAAATCTTTATGATCATTGGTTAGGTAAACAGTTATTAGATATCACATCAAAAACATAATTCATTGAACAAAACTTAATCAAATTAAAAACCTTTTGTTCTAAGGAATACATTGTTAAAAGACTGAAAATATA